CCGAGTGTTTAGAAAAACAGCCCAGCAGCCAGTGACAGAGAATCAATCACGACTCTTGGTCGATTGTCCCAATGGTTCACGGCTCTCCCCGTTAAACGCTGGTGCCTTATTCCCAGGCTGACTTTGCCTAGCTTTGACCTCCCGCTGCTGAACTGACGGGCCCCTTATTAAATATTTGTTCCCCGCCTCGGAATCAAGTCAGCCTGTGGTAGCTGGAGTTGGGGTGTACACTATAACGAGCGGGAGCAGGCTGCGTGTTTGAGTGGAGGCCGGGGGTCGGTAGCTCCCGTTTGCCCCATGTTGTCAGGGGAGGAGTCTTCCCAACAGGTGCTGTTAACTCGAGCACAGGCCTGTCTGTCCTGCAGCGCTCAGTAATGATGCTGCGCTGGCTGCATTTGAGGAGAGAACCCAGGAGTCCTGGCTCCCAGCCCCCCCCCTCCCTTTCCAACCCACTAGACCCCACTCCCCAAGCCAGGGAGAGAACCCAGATGTCCTGATCCCCAGCCCCATTCCAACCCACTAGATCCTGCTCTCCTCCCAGAGCTGGGAGAGAACCCAGGAGTTCTGATTCCCAGCCCCCCTCATTCCAACCCACTCCCCTCCCAAAGCTGGGGGAGAACTCATGAGTCACGACTCCCAGCCCCCTGCTCTAACCCCATGCCCCTTCCAGAGGAGGTGGTATCTTGGAACCAGGAGCACTATCCCCGTGTGGCACTGAGATGCAGCCACCTCTGGGGTGGAGCAGCAGGGGAACAGCCGCACTGCGGCAGCACACGAGGCTGGCAAGCTGTGGAAAGTTGGCCGTGGAGGGACGGGGTTATTCCAGGCATGCTTGGCTCAGAGCCTGTCGGGAATCTGGACAGGACTTGCTGTCTCTGCGTCAGCCTTCAGGAGGTTAAGTAGGTCAGCCCCGTCGGAGGCTGGCAGGGACAGCATCACGCTCTGCATCTAATTGCACCTGACGAAGCATCTTGGCTTCCAAACCAGCCCATCCGTCACTCCCCAGGAGCTCAAGGTCAGACGTGAGCACACAGGTTGTCCCTGCGCTTGTGGATAAAAAGGAGGGCTCGCCTGGTGCTGAGATGCAGCCAGCTCTGGGGCACGGCAGCTAGGGAACAGCTGAGCATAACATCGCGTGGGGACAGGTCGCCTGGTAGTGAGATGCAGCCAGCTCTGGGGCGGGGAAACGCCCCCACGCTGAGCTGTTCAGTAATTTGCAAGAGGCCGTGAAGACAAGACTGTTGTCCTGGATCCCTTTCCGAGGCTGCTGTGGGGTCTAAAATGCGTCCGACATGCCAGTGGCCTCCTGTGGTTTTATATCCGCTGCTCCGGCTGGGTCATTAAGGTTCCTTTACTGACCCTCCTGCTAAATATCTGGCCAACAGGGATAAATAGAAACACTTTGCAGTAGGAACAATCTAGAAGGAAGATACAAAAAGTATCTTGGCATCAGCTGGCTCAGAACAAGGAGACTTTCCCCTCTAGGGGGTGCCAGCTCCCACCTGTCCCAAGGTGGGGCGCTGCCTAGCTCAGGGATGGCAGGGGGAGGGCAGGGGTATGCAACAGTTTCATCACTGAGGCTGCAGCAGCCCCTAGCCCTAGGGTCGGGATTTGCAGCTGATTTGGCTTCCTGAATCAATGCATGTGTTTGTTTGTTTGTTTTCAAATGAGCACTTGACAACTTGGTGGGAGGGGAGTGGGGTCTAGCGGTTAGAGCGGGTGGGAGCCAGGACTCCTGGGTCCTCTCCCTGGACTCGAGGAGGGGAGTGGGGTCTCGTGGGTTAGAGCAGGGGCGCCAGGACTCCTGGGTTCTGGAAGGGGAAGGGCGGGAGTCTGAGGTTCTCTTTTCTCCCCTCTGAGCAAAAGAACTTCCTCTTTCCCACACCGGGAGTCGAACCCGGGCCGCCTGGGTGAAAACCAGGAATCCTAACCGCTAGACCATGTGGGACTGAGCTGCTGCTCCCTCTGTTGGAGCTGGCCTGAGGAGCGGCCGTGGGGCACTGTAGCGCCACCTAGCGGGGGAGCTCGGGAGAGACCCCACCCCACCATGGGGCAGCCCCACAACTCTCGGCTCCTCTCCGCCCATCCCTCGCCCCGCAAGGCCTCCGTGCCCCACCCCGCCGGCCCGAGGATCATTCCCCCCACCCCCCGTGAATCCAGAGCGGAAGCGGAGCCGGCCTCTGAGCTCCTGCCTGCAAGGGGGGGAGGGAAAAAAAACTAAAATAAAACCCCAGCTGTTCCCATACCGGGAGTCGAACCCGGGCCGCCTGGGTGAAAACCAGGAATCCTGACCGCTAGACCATATGGGAGCTGCTGGGGAAAGCCCTGCACACAGGCACAAGTGATGCGTTCACACACCCCCTGTCAGCATCATGCCGGATTTCCAGCCTGTGCCTCCTGCCAGGGCTCAATCCTCCCTGTGAGGCTGGAGCAGCCCCATTGCAAGCAGGCCCCATGGAAAAGGGTGACACGCGTAGGGGGCACAACCCGGCCCTCGTGCTAAGGGACGTCACCCCCGTGCGAAGGGCCCTGGCCCCCATGTGAAAGGCCCCAGCTCTGTGCAAAGGGCCCTGGCCCCTGTGCAAAGGGATGTGACCCCCGAGCAAAGGGCCCTGGCCCCTGTGCAAAGGGACGTGATCCCCATGTGAAGGGCCCTGTCCCCAGTGCGAAAGGACGTGACCCCCGAGCGAAGGGACGTGACCCCCATGTGAAGGGACGTGACCTCCGAGCAAAGAACCCTGGCCCCCGTGCGAAGGGACGTGACCCCCGAGCAAAGGGCTCTGTCCCCCGTGCAAAGGGACGTGTCCCCCATGCGAAGGGACGTGACCCCCGAGCAAAGGGCCCTGGCCCCTGTGCAAAGGTTCGTGATCCCCATGTGAAGGGCCCTGTCCCCCGTGCGAAGGGACATGACCCCCAAGCAAAGGGACGTGACCCCCGTGTGAAGGGACGTGACCCCCAAGCAAAGGACCCTGGCCCCCGTGTGAAGAGACGTGACCCCCGAGCAAAGGGCTCTGTCCCCCGTGCAAAGGGACGTGTCCCCCATGCGAAGGGACGTGACCCCCGAGCAAAGGGCTCTGTCCCCCATGCAAAGGTTCGTGATCCCCATGTGAAGGGCCCTGTCCCCCGTGTGAAGGGACGTGACCCCTGAGCAAAGGGCTCTGTCCCCCATGCAAAGGTTCGTGATCCCCATGTGAAGGGCCCTGTCCCCCGTGTGAAGAGACGTGACCCCCGAGCAAAGGGCTCTGTCCCCCGTGCAAAGGGACGTGTCCCCCATGCGAAGGGATGTGACCCCCGAGCAAAGGGCCCTGGCCCCTGTGCAAAGGTTCGTGATCCCCATGCGAAGGGCCCTGTCCCCCATGCGAAGGGACGTGACCCCCGAGCAAAGGGCTCTGTCCCCCATGCAAAGGTTCGTGATCCCCATGTGAAGGGCCCTGTCCCCCGTGTGAAGGGACGGGACCCCCGAGCAAAGGGCTCTGTCCCCCGTGCAAAGGGACGTGTCCCCCATGCGAAGGGACGTGACCCCCGAGCAAAGGGCTCTGTCCCCCATGCAAAGGTTCGTGATCCCCATGTGAAGGGCCCTGTCCCCCGTGTGAAGGGACGTGACCCCCAAGCGAAGGGACGTGACCCCCGTGTGAAGGGACGTGACCCCCAAGCAAAGGACCCTGGCCCCCGTGTGAAGGGACGTGACCCCCAAGCGAAGGGACGTGACCCCCGTGTGAAGGGACGTGACCCCCAAGCAAAGGACCCTGGCCCCCGTGTGAAGGGACGTGATCCCCAAGCGAAGGGACGTGACCCCCGTGTGAAGGGACGTGACCCCCAAGCAAAGGACCCTGGCCCCCGTGTGAAGGGACGGGACCCCCGAGCAAAGGGCTCTGTCCCCCGTGCAAAGGGACGTGATCCCCATGCGAAGGGCCCTGTCCCCCATGCGAAGGGATGTGACCCCCGTGCAAAGGGCTCTGGCCTCTGTGAAAAGGGACATGACCCCTGTGCGAAGGGATGTGACCCCCGTGCAAAGGGATTGATCCATCTTTACTCTCCCTTCACCCCCCCACCCCCCCGTTTCTGTGCTCCGGGCCCTTTCAGCGTTGCCATGGCAATGGCAAAAAGAAAAGGAGGTGGGCGGGGACGCGGCCAAGGGAAGTTATCCCTGACAGACGGGCACCAGGGCCAATCAGAGGAGGACGTCGGGCAGAGGGGCGGGGATTGGGTTCTGGCTGCTGCTGCTTCCAGAGCTGCTGGGTGAGGGGGGGGCAGAGAGATGGGGGGGCAGATATAGGGCAGAGAGCTGGGGGCCTGGGGGCAGGGGGATGGGAGGTTGGGGCCTGGTGGGGGCTGGGGTTCTGAGACAGGAGCTGGGGGGCTGGTGGGAGGCTGGGGGCCTGGTGGGGGGCTGGAGGCAGGGGGATGGGAGGTTGGGGCCTGGTGGGGGCTGGGGTCCTGAGACAGGGGAGGGGTGGGGGGCTGGGGGCCTGGTGGGGGGCTGGAGGCAGGGGGATGGGAGGTTGGGGCCTGGTGGGGGCTGGGGTCCTGAGACAGGGGATGGGGGCCTGGTGGGAGGATGGGGATTGGAAACAGGGGATTGGAGACTGAGGCCCTGTTGGGGGGCTGGAAGCAAGGGGGTGGGGAAGCTGGGGGCCTGAGATGGGGCCCTGGTGGGGGGGTGGGGGCCTAAGAGCTTTTGGGGCTGTGCCAAGGGGAGGCAGGGGGTCTGAGATGGGGGGATGGGGTAGGTGGGAGGATGAGGGAGGGGGGCTGAGTAGGTGGGATGATGGGAGCTGGAGGCAGGGGGATGGGGAAAGTGGGGGGCTAGAGGCAGGGGCAGACTGGGGGCCTGAGATGGGGGGGCTGGGGGTGAGGAGGGGGTCTGACTGGGGCGTGGAGGTGGTTCTGGAAGGGAAGGGAAGGCTGGGGCTGATGGGGGTTGGATGTAGACTGTGGGAGTTGGGGACCCAGGGCCATAGGGTGTGGTGTGGGGCAGTGGAGCACAGGGATGTGGGGAGTGACCTGGGAAGCAGGTGCGCTGGAACTGCTTTGAGAGACTGGGGCGGGGGGGGGGGGCTCTGAGGGTAGTGTGGGGCTGGGATATGTGGGGGCTACCGGGAGGATAGTGGGTGGGAGGTTGCGGGGCTGCGATCGGGGCTTGAAAGGTGGGTGGGGGGCTGGTGGGACTGGGATGCAGTGTGGGAGGATTGGGGGCTGGTGGGGGGCTGGGACATGGGAGGCTCTGGGTGGGGCACTGGGGGCAGGAGGCCGTGGGGGGTGAAGGCACTGGGGGCGGGCTCAATGGGGGGCTCTGGGTAGACCCAGGGGCTCATGCTCTGCTTCCCCCTCCCGCCCAGACCGACGGGACCATGAGGCGGGCAGGCAGGAGAATCTGAACTGGGCTGTGGGCCTGGGGGGGAGGCAGCAGCAAAGGCTGGGACCCTCCCCTGGCTCCCCCTTTCTCCTCTGGCATCCGCACAGGAGGTGGCCCCATATGTGGCGGGCCAGAGGCGCTGGCAGAGATGGGACCCCTGCTGGGGGAGGACACTAGCCAGGTGAGCATGGGGCTAGTTGGCGACCCCTAGATCCACCCAGCCCCCCATCCTCGGGCTGGATGGGAGCCGCTGCCTCGGTTGATCTCGGCCCTTCTCTCCAGCAGGGGGCGGAGGTAGGGGCCGAGCCGGCGGGCTGGGGGGCCGCTGTGCAGTGGGGAGCTGAGGAGCCAGACGATGCGGACCCCATGCGAGTCCTCACACTGCCGCTCCAGGCCCAGCAAGCCATGGGGAGGATGGAGGAGTTTGTCTTTAAGGTAAGTGGCACGGAGCAGTGGTTGGGGGGAGGGGCTGGGAGCCAGGACTCCAGGGTTCTCTCCCCAGCTCTGGGAGGGGAGTGAGGTCTAGTGGTTAGAGCGGGGGGGCTGGGAGCCAGGACTCCTACACAGCTATGCCCAGTCAGTTGTACCATGTTTGTGCTCTCTCTGTTCCGGTGCCAGGGGTGTGGGTCACGAGTTTGGGGGTGGTTTGGGGAAAGCCCAGCACGGGGCCCCTAGATGTAGCGATGTGGGGCCTGCTCCCCTGCTCCCCGTCCATGTGGGGACGACACTGTGCAGCAGAGGATGGGGAGGGGAGGGGAGGAGTTGTTCTGGGAGGGCCCCTCCTACTGCCTGAGCTCTTCGTCTGTGAGCATGTCCGTCTGTCTGTCCATCTCCCCCTTTGTCATTTGGCATTCCCATCCATCTGTCCACTATTGGGTGTTCCTGTCCATCCGTCCATCCATTCATCACTGAGCGTTCCCATCCATCTGTCCATCCATCTGTCCATTGATCACTGGGCGTTCCCATCCATCTGTCCGTCCACCCATTCATCCATCACTGGACACTCCCGTCCATCTGTCCATCCGTCAGTCTATCCATCACTGGGCATTCCCATCCATCTGTCCATCCATCCGTCCTTCCATCACTGGGCGTTCCCATCCATACGTCTGTCCATTAATCACTGGGCGTTCCTGTCCATCTGTCCATCCATTCATCACTGGGCATTCCTGTCCATGTGTCCATCCATCCGTCCATTCATCACTGGGCGTTCCCGTCCATCTGTTCATCCATTCATCACTGGGAGTTTCCCATCCATCCATCCATCCGTCCATCCACCACTGGGCATTCCCATCCATCTGTCCATCCGTCCGTCCATCTATCACTGGGCATTCCCATCCATCTGTCCATCCATCCGTCCATCCACCACTGGGCGTTCCCATCCATACATCTGTCCATCCATCTCTAGGCGTTCCCGTCCATCCGTTCATCCGTCCATCCATCCATCACTGGGCGTTCCCATCCGTCTGTCCATCTGTCCATCCATCCATCACTGGGCTTTCCCGTCCGTCTGTCCATCCGTCCGTCCATCCATCACTGGGCTTTCCCGTCCATCTGTCCATCCATCCATCACTGGGCATTCCCATCCAGCCATCCGTCCATCCCTCACTGGGCATTCCCATCCGTCTGTCCATCCGTCCGTCCATCTATCACTGGGCATTCCCATCCATCCGTTCATCCATCCATCCATCCACCCACCACTGGGCATTCCCATCCATACGTCTGTCCATCCATCTCTAGGCGTTCCCGTCCATCTGTCCATCCGTCCGTCCATTCATCACTGGGCATTCCTGTCCATCCATCCATCCATCCATCACTGGGCGTTCCCGTCTGTCTATCCATCCGTCCATCCATCCATCACTGGGCGTTCCCGTCTGTCTGTCCATCCGTCCGTCCGTCCATCCATCACTGGCGTTCCCATCCATCTGTCCATCCATCCATCACTGTGTGTTCCCATCCATCCATCCATCCGTCCATCCCTCACTGGGCATTCCCGTCCATCCCTCCGTCCGTCTCTCCATCCCTGAGCATGCCTGCAAATCCATCCATCTATGCGGATGCCGTCCCTCCTCTTACCCCCGCACCTTTCAGCATCTCCAGTCTCTCTCCAGCTCTGCAGCCCCTCCATCCCCACCTGTCCCGTTCCCCTGGGCCAGTAGGGGCCACCTGGGGGCTCGGGGTGTCCTGGCCAGGCCCTGTGCCTGCCCATGGGCCAGCTGCCCGCAGGGGCTCAGGACGTGGCACAGTGGCCTGGCAGGGGGCATTGTGACCTCAGCAGCCCAGCCATGCTGCCTGGCTTCCCTGAGCCTGCCTGTGACAGCATCCCAGCTACCCCTGGTGGCAGGACCCTCCTCGGGTCTCTGCCCGGCCATGCCAGGGCCCACCCCAGAGCCAGGGGAGGGGATTGATCGGCAGGGCCGGAGGGGGGCAAAGGGGTTGGGGTTTGGTGGCAGCACGATCCCCAGCCCCACCGGGCTCGGCGCTTGGGCCCAGCCGGCCCCACCGGACCATGGGGAGCAGGGACAGGAAAGCAACCAGAGACGCCGGCACCAGCACTGAGGAGGACGAGGTCTGGAGAAAGGCAAGCAGCTGCCCGGGGCTGGGAGCCAGGACTCCTGGGTTCTCTCCCCAACTCTGGGAGGGGCGGGGGGCGGGTCTAGTGCAGGGGAGGGCAAACGTTTTGGCCTGAGGGCCACATCTGGGTATGGAAATTGTATGGCAGGCCATGAATGCTCATGAAATTGAGGGTTAGGGGGCAGGTGGGCTCCGGCTGGGGGTGTGGGCTCTGGGGTGAGGGTGGGGATGAGGGGTTCGGAGGGCCGGAGGGGGATCAGGGCTGGGGCAGGGGGTTGGGGCACGGGAGGGGCCAGGGGGGCAGGTTTACCTCAATCAGGTCCCGGAAACAGTGGTATGTCCCCAACTCTGGCTCCTACATGGAGGCATGGCCAGGCAGCTCTGCGCATTGCCCTGTCCGCAGGCACCGCCCCTGCAGCTCCCATTGGCTGTGATTCCAGGCCAATGGGAGCTGTGGGGTGGCACTTCTGGTGGGGACAGCATGCGGAGCCCCCTGGCTGCACCTACGCACAGGAGCTGGAGGCGGGGATGTGCTGTTGCTACCAGGAGCCATGCGGAATGGGGCAAGACCCCAACTCTGCTTCCCAGCTGGAGCGGGGCAAGCCCCAGACCCCCACTTCCCGGTGGGAGCTCGAGGGCCAAATTAAAACGTTGGGAGGGTCAGATGCAGCCCCCGGGCCATAGTTTGCCCACCATTGGTCTAGTGGTTAGAGCGAGGCGGGGGCAGGGCTCGGTGCCAGGACTCCTGGGTTCTGTCCCCAGCTCTGGGAGGGGCAGGAAGGGTCTAGTGGTTAAAGTGGGGGTGGGGGCTGGGAGCCAGGACTCCTGGGTTCTATCCCGGCTCTCTCTGCAGGTGTGGGAGGGGCGCTGGAGGGTCTTCCCGCACGATGTGCTGCCCGACTGGCTGAAGGACAACGACTTCCTTCTCCACGGGCACCGCCCGCCCATGCCTTCCTTCCGCGCCTGCTTCCGCAGCATCTTCCGCCTGCACACGGAGACCGGCAACATCTGGACACACCTCATTGGTCAGTGGGACCCAGGCGTCCGGAGGCGGCGGGGAGGGCGGTGAGGGCTCAGCAGGGATGCTCCAGTTGTGTTTTCGATGGGCACATCTGTGGCGAAGTGGGACTGTTCTTAATGTTTCCTCTGAATAGTGTGGGGGTGCCTCAGTTTCCCCTAGGCAGTTCTTAAGTATCTCGGTGGTGGGGTAAGGGTGTATGATCGTTGCAGAGCCCTAGAGGGCAGGTGTGTGCAGAGGTCTGGACACAGAGAATGGCCGACACCTTGTTTCCTGGCCACGGATGGCCTGGGCCCTTCCCCCCCTGCAAGGTGAGAGCTAAAGGGTTGGAGAACAAAGGAATCAGGTGACCTCCTGGCCCGGGAAAGGGACAAAGCCCAGAGGAGGGGGGGCTGGAGGGAGTTTCAGTTTTGGGGCTGGCTGGAGACATGGAGTGACGGGCAGACGTGGTTGTCCGGATCACTGCCCCCCAAAATGGACCCAGCTGAGGGGTCCTGTTCTCTGCACCTACAAGCTCTGTGTTAGACCATGTTCCTGTCGTCTAATAAACCTTTGTGTTACTGGCTGGCTGAGAGTCCCGTCTGACTGTGGAGTTGGGGGGCAGGACCCTCTGGCTTCCCCAGGACCCCGCCTGGGCGGACTCGCTGGGGGAAGCGCACGGAGGGGCAGAGGAGGCTGAATGCTCCGAGGTCAGACCCAGGAAGGTGGAAGCCGTGTGAGCTGTGTGCCCTGCAGACAGGCTGCTCCCAGAGAGGAGACTTCCCCAAAGTCCTGACTGGCTTCATGGGGAGCAGTTCCAGAGCATCGCCCGGGGACTCCGTGACAACATCTCAGCGCCAGGCGAGCTGTCCCCATGTGGCGTTATGTGCGGCTGTTCCCCAGCTGCCCTGCCCCAGAGGTGGTTGCATTTGGACTCTCCTCTCCTCCCATTACAGGCGCCCTCTTCTTCCTCGTCTTGGGCATTGGCTACATGTTCAGCCCCAACATGAATTACAGGGCCCCCGTCCAGGAGCGGGTCGTCTTCGGGACGTTTTTCCTGGGGGCCACCCTCTGCCTCTGCTTCTCCTGCCTCTTCCACACGGTGTACTGCCACTCGGAGAGAGTGTCCCGCACCTTCTCCAAGTGAGCACCCAGCCCCGGTGGCGAGGCACTGCCAGGCCGGACACCCGGGTTCTTCTAGCCACCAATCAGGAAAGGAAGTGGAATCTGGGGTGGCCCAGTCAGGGCTGGGAGCCAGGAATTTTTAGATCTCTCCCCAGCTCTGGGAGGGGAGTGAGGCCTAGTGGTTAGAGAGGGGAGGTGGGGGGCAGCCAGGTCTCCTGGGTTCTTTCCCTGGCTCTGGGAGGGGAGTGGGGCCTAGTGGTTAGAGCGGGGGGGTGGCAGCTAGGTCTCCTGGGTTCTTTCCCTGGCTCTGGGAGGGGAGTGGGGCCTAGTGGTTAGAACGGGGAGCAGCCAGGAGTCCTTGGTTCTCTCTCTGGTTCTGGGAGGGGAGCGGGGTCTGGTGGGTTAGAGCAGGGCCGGGCCTGGGAGCCAGGACTCCTGGGTTCTCTCCCCAGCTCTGGGAGGGGAGTCATGTCTGCTGTCCCCGCAGGCTGGATTACTCGGGCATCACGCTGCTGATCGTGGGCAGCTTCGTGCCCTGGCTGTATTACTCCTTCTACTGCTCGCCCCAGCCCCAGCTCATCTACCTCATCATCGTCTGCGCGCTGGGGGTCACAGCCATCACGGTGTCCCAGTGGGACCATTTCGCCACACCCCAGTACCGCGCCGTGCGGGCAGGTGAGCGCCTGGATTGGAGGGGCTGGCCCTGGGGCAGGGGGCAGGGCACAGGGTGCTGGCAGTGGGATAAGGGGCTGGGCACAGGAGGTGGCCGGGGGCTGGCAGTGGGGGCAGGGGGTGGCTGGACACAGAGGGGGGCTGGGAGGGCAGGGGGCTGGGCATGGGCTGGCAGTGGGCACAGAGCACAGGGGGTGGTTGGCAGTGGGCGCAGGGCACCGGGGGCCGCTGGCAGTGGGCGCAGGGCACTCGGGGCCGCTGGCAGTGGGCAGAGGGGGCTGCCGGGTAGGCAGGCAGTGGGGGCTGTGGGTCGGGCACAGGGGGCACTTGGAGGCGGGCACGCGCCCTGACCCCTCTCTCTGCCTGGCGGCAGGCGTGTTTCTGGGTCTGGGGCTCAGCGGGCTGGTGCCCACCCTGCACTTCATGCTGGCCGAGGGGCCGGTGCGGGCGGTGACGGCCGGGCAGATGGGCTGGCTCTTCCTCATGGCGCTGCTCTACATCCTGGGCGCGGTGGTGTACGCCGCCCGCGTGCCCGAGCGCTTCTTCCCCGGCAAGTGCGACATCTGGGTGAGTCCCCCCCGCACAGCCTGCTGGGAGCCCGGACGCCTGGGTTCTCTCCCGGGGCTGGGAGGGGAGGGGGGTCTAGTGGTCAGAGCAGAGTGGGGCTGGGAGCCTGGATGCCTGGGTTCTCTCCGCAGCCTTGCTCCAGGCTCTGTGTGTCCCTAACCCGTGCCCTGGGTGGGGCAGGGCTGATCCTTACCCCCATCCTGGGGGAGGTGGGTGCCCAGGGAGGGGGGCGGGGCCTGGTTTGCTCCTGCCAGGGGAGGTGGGCAGAGCCAGGCTCACCCCTCCCCCTTTCTCCCCCCCTCCCCGCAGTTCCACTCCCACCAGATCTTCCACGTGCTGGTGGTGGCGGGCGCCGGCGTCCACCTCCACGGGGTCTCCCAGCTCCAGGCCTTCCGCTCTTCACTGGGGGGCACCTGCACCAAGAGCACTGTGCTGTGACCCCCCCCGACCCACTGGATCCTTTCCCGGGGGGCCTGGCCCCAGGCGACCAGATCCCACCCCGGGGGACGTGGCCCCGGGTGCCGAGCGATCAGATCCCACCCCGGGGGGCCTGGCCCCGGGTGCCGAGCGACCAGATCCCACCCCGGGGGGCCTGGCCCCGGGTGCCGAGCGACCAGATCCCACCCCGGGGGGCCTGGCCCCGGGTGCCGAGCGACCAGATCCCACCCCGGGGGGCCTGGCCCCGGGTGCCGAGCGACCAGATCCACCCAGAGGATGTGGCCTCAGATGCCAGTGGAGGAGAGCTGCCACGGGAGGCGTGGCCTCTGGCACCGACCAACCAATCCCAGCCTCAACCAGTCAATCACGCCAGGGGAGGTTGCCGCCTTTAACAACAACTGACCAATCGCAGCACTGGATTCAGGGCCTCACTTGCCAACCAAGCCTGTCCTCCAGCAGCCGATCACATGACAGAAGGCGGGCCCTCAGATGACAACTGACCAATTGGCCCACTAGGAGTGTGGCCTTGGACCCTGACCAACCAATCAGACCATGGAGTAGTGATAGCTGATCCTGACTGACCAATTGCCCCAAATGGGGCGTGACCTAAGACTCTGACCAACGAATCACACCACATGGGGTGTGGCCTCAGACACCAACCAACCACTCATGCCATGGACTTGTGATGTTACACAGTAACCAACCAATCGCACCATGGAGATGTTACTGCGATCACTAACTGACCAATCGCAACATGGGAGGCGTGGCCCTATGACACAGACTGATCCATCCCACTTTGGGTGGGCCAATCAAGCCAAGGGGGCGTGGCTTCTTTTAAAGGGGACATTACCTAATATTTTTGTTGTGCCTGCCCCATATTTTTCCCCTGTTGCACTGTGGGGGGGGTGGTATTTAGCAACTCACTGCACCTATTTTTAGCTTAATCTCCCACCCCAATTTCTCAGTCTCTGGCCCTTTAAGAAACTTGGGCGTGTCCCCTCTTGGAAAGGCGTGTAGTTCTTGTTTGTGGAGGACTGGGGCGGGGGGGGGGTAGAGAAGAAGCTGCCCCTTTAAGAGTTGCTCAGGGGGTGGGGTTGATCCCGAAATATTCTCTCCCCTGCTTGCCCCAAGCCAGCCTGAGTGACTGGGGACAGGCCTGGGAGCCAGGACTCCTGGGTTCTCTCCCCAGCTGGGGGAGGGGAGTGGGGTCTGGTGGATTAGAGCAGGGGGGCTGGGATCTGGGACTCCTGGGTTCTCTCCCCAGCTGGGGAGGGGAGTGGGGGCTAGTGGTTAGAGCAGGGAGGGGGGTCTGGGAGTCAGGACTCCTGGGTTCTCTCCCCGGCTGGGGGAGGGGAGTGGGGTCTGGTGGGTTAGAGTCAGGGGCTGGGATCTGGGACTCCTGGGTTCTCTCCCCGGCTGGGGGAGGGGATTGGGGCTAGTGGTTAGAGCGGGGAGGGGACTCTGGGAGTCAGGACTCCTGGGTTCTCTCCCCAGCTGGGGCAGGGGAGTGGGGTCTGGTGGGTTAGAGCCAGGGGCTGGGATCTGGGACTCCTGGGTTCTCTCCCCAGCTGGGGCGGGGGAGTGGGGTCTGGTGGGTTAGAGCCAGGGGCTGGGATCTGGGACTCCTGGGTTCTCTCCACAGCTGGGGGAGGGGAGTGGGGGCTAGTGGTTAGAGTGGGGAGGGGGGTCTGGGAGTCAGGACTCCTGGGTTCTCTCCACGGCTGGGGGAGGGGAGTGGGGGCTAGTGGTTAGAGCGGGGAGGGGGGTCTGGGAGTCAGGACTCCTGGGTTCTCTCCCCGGCTGGGGCAGGGGAGTGGGGTCTGGTGGGTTAGAGCCAGGGGCTGGGATCTGGGACTCCTGGGTTCTCTCCCCGGCTGGGGGAGGGGAGTGGGGGCTAGTGGTGGGCTTGGTGCCAGGCGGGGGGCTGCAGGGGCATCCATTCCATCCATGCTGTGGAGCCCCAGCTCCCACCAGCACCTAGGGGAGCACCAGAGAGGGGGCATGGAACAAAGACGGGGTGGAGAACTGGAGGGCGGGGTAGGGGGCTTTGGGGAGCTGTGGATCAGGATATGGGGGACTTGGGGCAATGCGGGGGGATTTGCAGAGTGGGGCAGGTGGGGCATAGGGCAGTGCGGGAAGGAGGTGGCTGTCTGGGGCAAAGGGACGCCACCCAGTGGGGTTGCTGTGGAGATGGGGGAACACATCTGCCAGGCCCCCCAGCACGGTACCAAGTCAAAGCACAGCTGTGCCCCCCACCCTTCCCCAGCCATGTCTCAGAGCCACCCCAGAGCCCTGTTGCTTTTCATAGCCTGGTTATTTTTTTTTCCTGGCTATTGTAATAAATTCCTAGAAGCTGGAAACATTATAAGGAAAATAAGTTCTCTCCTGGCCCCCGGCCTGGCTGGAGTCTGCACGGCAGACCTTGGGCGGCTTTATGTGCAGCAGTTCCCAGCTGCCCCGCCCCAGAGGTGGCTGCATCTCAACGCTGGGAGACCCACCTGTCCTTTTGCTGTGTTATGTGCAGCTGGTCGCCAGCTGCCCCACCCCAGAGGTGGCTGCATCTCAGCGCCAGGCCAACCGTCTCTGTGCAGGGAGTGGGCGCTGCTGCAGAGAACCTGCATCTGTAGTCTGTTTCGTGTCTGTGGCTGACCTGCCTGGAGGGGAGTGAGAGGTGGAAGGAAGTGGGTGAGCATCACGGAGGCGGTTGTCTCCTGCCCAAGCTGCAGAACGAAGCCGGGGCGCCATGCAGCAGGGCGAGGGGGCTGGGCAGGGGGTGCTCTCCCTTGGCAGGCAGGGCCAGGCGGTGGGGGGTGCTGGGGGGCAGGGAGCCAGGTGGGGGGCTGGGCAGGAAGTGCTCTCCCCTGGCAGGCAGGGCCGGGCACTGGGGGGCGCCATTGGGCGGGGCAATGTGGGGCCAGCACCCTTGGTGCAATCGCTACAAACACAGGAACTGCCCCCCCCCCGCCTCCCCTAGCGCAGGAAACCACAGGGACGGAAGCGCCTCTTGGCTTCGGGGACTTGGTGTCGAGCCACCCGCGCCCTGGGGGGCCGAGGGGAGCAGGCGGCAGGTGCAGGGGGGCCCAGGGATGCGCTGAGCGACCATGGATGAGGAGGGGCTGGTGGAGCAGGAATCATGGTAAGAGGGTCACCGGGGGATGGGGGGGAGGGAAATGTACCAAATCCTGCACCTTCCTCACCCCACAAAGACGGGGCGGATGCTGCACAGAGCAGGGGATTCCAGATTGTCACCTCCCAGGGGCAACTGAGGCACAGAAAAGGGGCACTGACTTCTCCTGTAACTCAGGAGACCCCACTCCCTCCCCAAGCTGGGGAGAGAACCCAGGCATCCTGGTTCCCAGCCCCTCCTGCTCTGACCAGTAGACCCCACTCCCCTCCCAGAGCTGGGGAGAGAACCCAGGAGTCCTGGCTCCCAGCCCCCGCTGCTCTAACCCAGTAGACCCCACTCCCCTCCCAGAGCTGGGGAGAGAACCCGGGAGTCCTGGCTCTCAGCCCCCCCCCCCCCGCTCCAACACAGCCCAGAATAACTCACCCCATTTTGCGCCTCCCCAGGCTCGCGACATCCGGGGTAGCCAGGGGAATTACAGTTCCCCATAACGTAGCACCAAACTTCAGATAAGTTTGTTGGGGGATGTCATTCTTGATGTGTCCCCACAGCACTGCTGGAAGGAAGCTCGCAGCACCCCAGGGGAGCAGGGACTGTGGGTGCCCATTGCACTGCTGGAAGGAAGCTCACAGCACCCCATTCTTGTAACCCCCTTCCCGGTGTGTTTGCAGGTCCCCGGTGCATCGGGAGCGATCCCAGACCTCAGGGTCCCTGTCCGAGGGCTCGGGGGTGAGTGGGGGAGGGCAAGGCTGGAGTGGAGGTTGGAGCTTTGGGGTGTGGGTGGAGTGGCCATGGGGACAGAGACAGGGGTTCTGGGAGATGGGGTAGGGTAACTGTGGGGATGGGGGTCTGGGAGATGGGAGGGCAGAGGGGATGGTGACAGAGGGTCTGGGAAATGGGGCGGGGTGGCTGTGGGGATGGGAACAGGGGGTCTGGGAGATCTGGGGGTGGGGTGGGGCATCTAGGGGTGGGAAATCTGGGGTGGGGTGGCCGTGGGGATGGGCACAGGGGGTCTGGGAGATCTGGGGGGGGGTGGGGTGGGGTGTCTAGGGGTGGGAAATCTGGGGTGGGGTGGCCGTGGGAATGGGCACAGGAGGTCTGGGAGATGGGGTGGGGCGGGGTGGCTGTGGGGACGGAGACAGGGGGTCTGGGAGATGGGATGGGGTGGCCATGGGGATGGGGGTCTGGGAGATGGGGCAGGGTCCCCCCGAATCTGGCTCTGACCCCCCTCTCTCTCTGGCAGAAGAAACGGAAGCAGCAGGGGGTGCCTGGCATGGGGCAGCAGGGGCCTGAGCCCCAGACCTCTGATGACAAGGTGAGACCCTCCCTCTGCCAGGACAGACCCTCCCCGACTAGCTCCCCGTCATTTTATCCTTATCTGCCCACTAGTACCTCTTCCCCCCACGCTGTCCCCCTTCATTCCCACTGATTCTCCCCCCCCCACACCCACACACCCCCACACACGTGGGGATGGTTGAATTCTGGCCTGGCCCCTTTAAATCGTAGCGGTAGGCGGGGCTTCTTTGGCTAGTGGGTGTGGTCAGCTTGCTGGCAGGGGTGCGGAGTTTCTCTGTGGTTGGTTGTGCTATGGCAGGGGGCGTGTCTGGAGGAACGGGGCGTGGTGATTGGCTGCAGGGAGAAGGGCCCTGTACATAGGGGAGAGGTCCTCACCCCGCTCTGCAATTGGCTGAGGCGTGGAGTGGGGGGCATCTCCTTGACAGCAGATTGGCTGAGCAGACAGACGTGGTGTCACAGTGGGACCCTCCCCCATCCCCTCCATGACCCCTTCCCCATGCCCTGCAGTGGGGAGCCCAGGGCTCAGCCGGCAGGGGGCTGCGGGTCAGGAGTGAGGGGCACCCGCAGGGCTGGGCTAGCCGGGGGCTGCGGGTCAGGAGTGAGGGGCACCCGCAGGGCTGGGCTAGCCGGGGGCTGCGGGTCAGGAGTGAGGGGCACCCGCAGGGCTGGGCTAGCCGGGGGCTGCGGGTCAGGAGTGAGGGGCACCCGCAGGGCTGGGCTAGCCGGGGGCTGCGGGTCAGGAGTGAGGGGCACCAGCAGGGCTGGGCTAGCCGGGGGCTGCGGGTCAGGAGTGAGGGGCACCAGCAGACGGGGGGCAGGGGGGATTTCCCAGGGCTGGACTAGCAGGGGCTGTGGGTCGGGAGTGAGGGACACCGGTAGAGCTGGGGGGAGCCCAGGGCTGGGCTAGCCGGGAGTGAGGGGCCAGAGGATGGGGGATAAAGGGCTGGACTAGCAGGGGCTGTGGGTCGGGAGTGAGGGACACCGGTAGAGCTGGGGGGAGCCCAGGGCTGGGCTAGCCGGGAGTGAGGGGCACCAGCAGGCATGGGGGATACACCAGGGCTGGGCTAGCAGGGGCTGAGGATCAGGAATGAGGGGCACCGGAGGAGCTGGGGGGCAGGGGGGATACACCAAGGCTGCTCTGTTTCTCTCTTTTCCTGCCCGGAAGCCCCTGGATTGTTTGCTGGTGGCAGGAAGCCGGGTCTATAAATAGTTCCCAGGGGCCCATTGTCTGGGTCCAGCCCCCCCAGTACTGAGCCGGGCCTGGTGACGCCCCCCCCCCCACCGCTTTCCTCCCCAGGAGCCCTGCACCAAGCGGGTGAAACCTGTCGGCAAGACCCTGTCGGCCCCGGGGCCCCCCTCGGCCAAGGTGACACCCCTGAAACGCCTGAGCCAGTCGATCCAGGTACCCAGGGATCCCCCCTCATCCCGGCACTATGGGGGCCAGGACACAGAGCAGGGCTGTCGCCAGCCCCTTCCAGCAGAGGGAGGGGGTGAGATGGGGGGGTCCCCTGAGGATGGGGATGCGGGGCTGGGCGGGAGGGGGCACCCTGGGAGATGGGTGAAGGGGGGCGGGGTCCGTATTCCACTCTCAGCCAATCACTGTCCATCCTGCCCCCTCACACCCCAGAGGTCCATCAGCTTCAAGACGGAGCCCCGCCCCCCAGGCTACATCCCGCCTCCCCGGGCTGGGGGCTGCCGGCGCCGCAGCAGCAAACTCTGGAGCGAGACCTTCGATCGGGTCAGTGAGGAGCTCTCGGCCCGTGAGGTGAAACGCCAGGAGGTGAGGGGCGGGGCCAGGCACAGGGGGCGGGGCCAGCAGGCAAGGGGCGGAGCCTGGGGAGTGGGGCATGAAGGAGCTGGTGGAGTAGCGAGGCTGAGGGTGGGGCATGAAACACGGTGGGGGAGGAGCCAGGCTAGGGGCGGGGCATGGAGTAAGGTGGGGGAGGAGCTAAGGGCAGGGCTGGGAGCAGGTGGGGGAGGAGTCAGCCAGGGGCGGGGCATAGAGCAAGGTGGGGGAGGAGCCAGGCTGGGGGCGGGGCTGGGGCTGGGGGAGGAGCCAGGCAGGGGTGGGCCTGGGAGCAGGTGCGGGAGGAGTCAGATGGGGACGGGGCTGGGGGCAGGTGGGGAGGGAGGAGCCAGGCCGGGGAGCAGGGTCGGGGGGTACCACGGGGGTATCTGCGGGCTTAGCCTGACCCTCCCTCCCCAGGTGATCTTCGAGCTGATGCAGGGGGAGCAGCAACTGGTGGCAGATTTGAACCTGGTGAAGAAGGTACCTTCCCCCCCCGCTAGATGAGCGGTGCTGGGGGGTGGGGTCCCAGCAGGGTGAAGTGGGGGGCTCAGCAGGGTGCACTGTGCTGCGGGGAAGCAGGGGGGGGCTCAGCGGGGGTGGTGCTCTGCTGCTGGGCTATGGTGCTGGGAGGTGGGGTCCCAGCGGGGGGCAGAGAGGGGCTCAGCGTTGTGGGAGGCTCAGCAGGGGGTGCTCTGTTGGGGGGGCTCAGTGAGGGGGCCACTGTGCTGTGGGGCAAAGCGGGGGGCTCAGTGGGGGGGTCCTGTGCAGCAGGGGATTGGGGGGCAGAGGGGGGTTGTGGGCAGCGGGATGAGGCAGGGGGTGCTGTGCTGCAGAGGGATTTGGGGGGGCTGTGGGGGGCGCTGTGCTGTGGTGGGAAATTGGGGGGCTGTGGGGGGCACTGTGCTGTGGGGGAATTGGGAGGGCTGTGGGGGGCGCTGGGCAGTGGGAGGAAGCGGGGGGTGCTGTGCTGCGGAGGGATTTGGGGGGCTGTGGGGGGCACGCTCACCCCCTGCCCCTTGCAGAACTACTACGAGCCGATGCTGACGCTGGCCATCCTGCCCGAGGCCGAGCTGCGCGAGATCTTCGGGACCCTGGATTCCCTGGCGCCGCTGCACGAAGGTACAGGCTGCAATTCCGCCGGGCGCCACTGGGGGGCAGCGCGGCACCAGCTGGGTGCGGGGGAGGCTCCCTGCCCCATGGGTGGGGGGTGGGGGGGAGTCCACTTTGCCGCTATTTCCCCCCGTCCTGGCGCCCCCGCAGGAGGCTGCTCGCCCTACGGCCTGATCCCTGCACTGACCCCCCCCTCCCCTTTTGCAGACTTGCTGGGGCGGCTGCTGGGTCTGAGGCAGGAGGACGGGACGGTGCCTGAGCTGGGACCCACCCTGCTGGACTGGGTAAGGGCTGGGGGGGGAGGCTGGGGTCAATGGGGGGGTGACATTTATGGGGCTGGGGATGTTAGGAGGGGGGAGCATGGGGTTGGGGGTGGAGCTATGGGGAGGGGGATGGACATGGGGGGCTGAGGGGAAAGACAAGGGGTTTGAGGGAAGGAGGTGGGGAATACTGGGGAGGGGCAGGAGGAAATGAGGGAGGGTGGGGAACCAGGAATGGGGAGACCCCCCCCAGGAGGGAAGAGGGTGGGGGGAGGGGTTCCCCCGGCTGGGCAGTGGGGCTTTGTCTAGTGTCTGGGGAGGGGGAGGTGTAACTGGACCCCCCAGCCCAGCCTGGGAGCGGGGAATGTGGCCCCACAGGAGGGGGGATGGGGACCCCTGGCCTGGTGTGTGTGGGTATCAGGAACGGCAGCCCCACACCCCAGCGCTCCCCCTCTTGGCGTCTCCCCCCCACAGCTGCCCGGGCTGCGGGCCTACGAATCCTACTGCTGCCACCAGGTGTGGGCCAAGGCGCGGCTGGACCGCCGCAAGCAGGAGCCGGCGGTGGGGGAATTCCTGCGCCTGTGCCAGGAGTCGGCCTTCAGCCGCAAGCTGGAGCTTTGGAGCTTCCTGGACCTGCCCCGCAGCCGCCTGGTCAAGTACCCCCTGCTGCTGCGGGAGGTGCTGCGCCAGACGCCCCCCGAGCACCCCGACCAGGCGCCCCTGCAGCGGGCGGTGAGAGCCAGGGCACGGGGGAGGGACGGGACCGGACCCCCTCCCACTGCGAGGGGTTGGTTAATACCACAAAGAGGGGGAGGTGGGGGCAGAGGGTCCCCACGCACCCTGCAGGGAGGGGGTAGCACCGTGGGGGGGGCAGAGGGAGCCCATGCGCCCCGCAGGGAGGGGGTAGCACCGTCGGGGGGGGGACAGAGCGTGCCCATGCACCCTGCAGGGAGGGGGTAGCACCGTGGGGGGGGGCAGAGGGTGCCCATGTGCCCCACAGGGAGGGGGTAGCACCGTGGGGGGGGACAGAGGGTGCCCATGCACCCCACAGGGAGGGGGTAGCAACATGGGGGGGGGGAAAGAGGGTGCCCATGCGCCCCGCAGGGAGGGGGTAGCACTGTGGGGGGGGGACAGAGGGTGCCCATGCACCCCACAGGGAGGGGGTAGCACTGTGGGGGGACAGAGGGTGCCCATGCGCCCCACAGGGAGGGGGTAGCACTGTGGGGGGACAGAGGGTGCCCATGCGCCCCACAGGGAGGGGGTAGCACCGTGGGTGGCAGAGGGTGCCCATGTGCCCCACAGGGAGGGGGTAGCAACGTGGGGCGGGGACAGAGGGTGTCCATGCACCCCGCAGGGAGGGGGTAGCACCGTGGGGGGGACAGAGGGTGCCCATGCACCCCACAGGGAGGGGGTAGCAATATGGGGGGGACAGAGGGTGCCCATGCACCTCACAGGGAGGGGGTAGCAACATGGGGGGGGGAAAGAGGGTGCCCATGCGCCCCGCAGGGAGGGGGTAGCACTGTGGGGGGAGACAGAGGGTGCCCATGCACCCTGCAGGGAGGGGGTAGCACTGTGGGGGGGCAGAGTGTGCCCATGCACCCCACAGGGAGGGGGTAGCACCGTGGGGGGCAGAGGGTCCCCATGCACCCTACAGGGAGGGGGTAGCACTGTGGGGGGGCAGAGGGTGCCCATGCGCCCTGCAGGGAGGGGGTAGCACCGTGGGGGGGGACAGAGGGTTCCCATGTGCCCCACAGGGAGGGGGTAGCACCGTGGGGGGGACAGAGGGTGCCCATGCGCCCCACAGGGATGGGGTAGCACTGTGGGGAGCAGAGGGTCCCCGAGCACCCTGCAGGACAGGCGAGGACCCCGCTGACCAGTGACCCATGGGGGGCAGGTGGCGCTGGCCCAGGACCTGGTGGGGCTGATCAACAGGAAGACGGGGGAGGCCGAGTGCCGCTTCTACCAGCAACGGCTGAGCTACCCCGAGGGGGCGCCCCGGCACCCCGGCATCGACCGCTCCAGCCTGCTGCTCTGCCACGGGGACCTCCGCAACAGCAAGGGGCAGGTACCGGCCTCCCGCCCCGGCCGCCTCCCCTCAGCCAGGGCTGGGCGCTAGGGGGCATGGTGCCGTGGGGAGCTGGGCAGGGGGACTGGGGGGCAGGGGGCTGGGCACTGGGGTCGCCATAGGGTGGGGCGCTGGGGGGTGCTGGGGGGCTGGGCGCTGGGAGGGTGCCAGGGGGCAGGAGGTTGGGCACTGGGGGGCAGGGGGCTGGGGTTGCCATAGGGTGGGGCACTGAGGGGCAGGAGGCTGGGCACTGGGGGGGCAGAGGCCGGGCACTGGGGGGCAGGGTCTGGGGTTGCCATAGGGTGGGGCACAGCAGGGGGTTGGGGGGCAGGGGGTGGGCACTGGCAGGTGCCCAGGGGCTGGGCATTGGGGGGTGCCAGGGGGCGGGGAAACTATCTCCAAGCTTGGGTTACAGCAAGAGAACCCAGGAGTCCTGGCTCCAAGCCCCTCCCTCCCCGCTCTAACCACTAGAGCCCACTCCCCTGCCGGAGCCGGGGCAGGAACCCAGGTGTCCTGACCCCCCTCTCCCTGCAGAGGCTGCATGTGTTCCTGTTCCAGGAGGCGCTGGTGCTGACCCGGCCCGTCCTGCAGGGGGAGCAGGTCGTCTTCCAGCTCCAGGGGCCCCCCCTGCCCGTCGGCCAGCTGGAGGTGCAGGACCTGCCTGACGGGGGGGCCCGGCTTGGGGGGGCCCTGCGTGAGCGCGGTAGGTGCCCCCCTGCTCTGCTGAGATTCCCCTGACCCATCCCCCACTGGGATCCCTGCCCCCCAGTTTGACGCCTGCTGCTGGAGGCTGGAGATGGTTGGGGTGGGGGGCCAGCTTGGGGGGGGACTGGCTTGGGTGGGGGGCAAGCGAGGGACAGTCTAACTGGGGAGGGGCTGACTGGGATGGGGGGCAGCCCCCCCCTTTGACCCTCCTGCCCTCCCTTCCCCCCCCAGGCAGGAGCTGCCTGCGGGTCAGCGCCGGGGCCCGGGCCCACACGCTGCAGGCGGCCGACGCCTTCGACAAGCAGCAGTGGTTGAGCCGCCTGCGCCAGGCCCTGGCTGCCCGCCCGCCCCCGGAGCTCGACGGCAGCCTGGGGCCCCTGGCCGCCCTGCGCCTGGACTGCGACCCCCCCATGGACCACACCTGAGCCGGGCTCCCCCCGGCTCCAGGTCACCGGCCCGCGGAGCTGAGCCGTCCGGACGCCCGGGTCCCTCCGTCCCGCCGAGCCGGATTCGTCTTTCTCCATCTCTCCCCGGACTCCTGGGTCCGCCCCCCGCTCCCGTATTTATTGCGGCCCAGGGCCTTAACCCCGCGTGGGCTGCTCCCGGGCCGTCTCCCCTCCCGCGGCTGGAAGACGAAGGTGCCCCTTGGCCGCCCTGGAGTGGGAGTGGGGGGGCCAGGGGCTGCCCCTCTGCGGGGGGCCCTTGCGTGTCCCCCTGCCCTGTGCCCCCACTGGCCTTTCTGTGACCAGCTGCCAATAAACCTGTGATGGTCGCGGCCGGGCCCCCATTCCTCTGTGTGTCCCCCAGCCGGGTAACAGGCTACTGCTGCTGCCAGCCGAGGGAGTCACCCCGAGCTGCCCCCCCCAGCTGTGCCTGTCATGGGGGAGGGGTCCCTGCCTGCCCCCGGGGGAGGGGCCAGAGGGGGGACACTGGGTCCCCCTACACTGGGGGTGGGGCCTATGGAGGGGTGGAGCCACGGCGGGAGGAGGGCCCCAAACTCCTGAGTCTGGCTGCAGAGGCACCGAGTGGGGCTGGGGTGGGGAGGGCTGAGGCAGGCCCGGGATCCTGCCACCCCATTGGCCAGCTGTGGAGAGAGGGCGTAGCCAGGCAGGGATCCTGCCACCCAATTGGCAAACTGTGGAGAGAGGGCGTGGCCAGGAGGGAGCCTGCCAGCTGATTGGCCAACAACTACTAAGGGGCGTGGCTTGAGGAGGTGTCTCAGTTCAGAGAGGCGGGAGGGGGCGGGTTTTACAACTTGCCTCGTGATTCGATTGGTCGGGGGGGAGGGGGGACGGACCCGCTCGGCCCCTGATTGGCGAGGGGGCGGGGCCTGAGGCGAAAGCCTCTCGACTGTGATTGGCTGGAGGCGGGGCCGGGGGTGTCATGGCGGCTCCCGCGTGGTCCGAGCGGGTCCGGGAGCTGCTGAAGCGGATGAACAATTTCCACGAGCCCGGTGCGGGGCGGGGCCTAGCGGGGCGGGGCGGGGCGGGCGCGTGGCCATGGTAACCGGCTCCTGAAAGCGGCGCCTGCTGCAATCGGCCGACACGAGATGAGGCCCTGGCCGCCCCTTTAATTCTTAAAGGGGAGGTGAGCGAAGGGGGAAATGTCAGCCGACTAACAATACTGGCTACGGACCTTTAATTCTTAAAGGGGAAGGAGGGCTGGAAAATGAGCCGACAAAAAAATAACCTACTGCCCTTTAATTCTTAAAGGTGCGGCTGTGAGGAGAGAATTGAGCCGACAGAAACGAATGGTCGGTTGTTATTAAAGGGGCGGGGCAGGAATTCGCCGGCGGGAATGGCTGGGACTCACTCACATGCTTCACTACTTAAAGGGGCCGGGCGGGGAGCTGGGAGACTTGTGACCCCCTTTAACTGTTAAAGGGGCAGGATTTAGTGGCGGGAGGGGACCACAGAGCTAATTAAAGGGACAGGTGGGGGGGCTCAGGGGGGCAGGGGGCTCTAGCCACGGGGAGCAGGTGGGGGCGCCATGCTGTGGGAGAAGTGGGGGGAGGCACAGTCCTATAGAGGGGTTTGGGGGGCACTGAACTGCAGGGAGAATTTGGGGGGCTCGGTGCTGCAGGGGACGCTCAGGGGGTGCTGTGCGGGGGCAGGGGGCTGCAGGGGGAGCACTGAGCTGCAGGGTGTCTGCGTGGGGGGGTCTAACCGCGGCCCTCTCCCCAGGCTCGTCCCGGGACCAGTGCCTGCCGTTCCTGGTGGCGGGGCAGCGCGTGGGCTCCGTGCCCGCCCCGGTGGCCCAGCGGCTCCAGGGCTACCCGGCTGTGTTCAGCGGGTGCCCCGGGCCCGGCCACGTTGAGCTCCACCCAGAGCTGGCGTCCCACGAGCAGCGCACGGCCGCCGTGGGGCAGGTGCTCACGGAGCTGCGCGACCTGGGGGCTTTCCCCTGCCTGCGTGAATGGAGAGACGAGGTGAGGCCGGGTGCCCAGCCCCTGCGGGGAGTGGAGGGACTCCTGGGTTCCATCCTGGCTCTGGGAGGGGAGGGATGTCTAGTGGTTAGAGCCCCTAACCACTGGGGGCGGCAGGGCGGGGCAGGGAACCAGGACTCCTGGGTTCTCTCAGCTGGCCCCCTTGTCCTTGCAGCGCTATGAGGTGATGCCCCGGTTCTGCGACCCGCCTCTGTTCAGCATGGAGCGCGCGGCCACCGGTGAGTCCTGCTGGGGAAGCCTGCGGGGCACAGCGGGGGAAGGGAGAGGGGGGGATAGTGGGGGTGTGGAATGGGGTGGGGAGGGCAGACAAGAGGGAGGGGGTGGAGTGGGGAGGGGAGGACCTGGGGGGGCAGAGTGGGGGTAGAGTGGGAGTGTGGAATGGGGTGGGCAGGGCAGACAGGAGGGCGGGGGGGTGGAGTGGGGAGGGGAGGAGCTGGGGGGCAGAGTGATGGCCTGGGGTTGTCCCACGCCCCCGACTGACCCTCCCCCCCCTCCTCAGCGCTCCTGGGGGTTCGCTGCTACGGCACCCACCTGAATGGCTACACCTGGCGCAGGGGCCGCCCCTGCATGTGGCTCGGCCGCCGCGCCCCCACCAAGCCCACCTACCCCGGCCGGCTGGACAACCTGGTGAGGGGGGCACCACAGGGGAGGGGCACGGCCCTGGATGCAGAGGGCAGAGCTCCAGCGGCGGGGGAGGGGGCAAGGAATCTCCCACCCCCCCATAGCAGGGGGATGGTTCTGACACAGCTGGCTGCACCCATGGGTCTGACATGGTGGGGGTAATGCGTGTGTGTGGGGGGGGGGCCTCTGGTTCTGCCCCTGGCAGGGTACAGTGTGTGTGTGTGTGGGGGGGGTGCATGGGTCTGACCTGGGGGAGGTACCACGCTGGAGGGGCCCAGGGGGAAGTACCCCACATGCAGGGCACCACCCTCACTCCCTGCTGTCCCACAGGCGGCGGGGGGCATCGCAGCTGGGCTGGGGGTGATGGAGACGCTGGTGAAGGAGTGCCAGGAGGAGGCCTGCATCCCCCCCACGCTGGCAGCCAAGGCCCGGCCTGTGGGCACCATCAGGTAACTCGGGGGGTGGGGGGTTAACCCCTCAAGCCCCTCCCCCTTCCTCTCTTCTCTGACCCACCCCAGCTCCTGGATCTGCCAGGGTGCTGAGCCCATCTCCAGGGGGGCAGTGGGGGGGAACCAGGCAGGGTCCAATTGGGCACTGCTCCCCCCCATTGACCCCCTTCCCTCCCCCACAGCTACACCTATGAGGACCATCGGGGCATCTTCCCCGAGTGCCAGTTTGTTTTTGACCTGGAGCTGCCCGAAGACTTCGAGCCCCGCGTGGGCGACGGGGAGATGCAGGAGTTTTACCTGTGGGGCCTAGATGAGGTGAGCAGGGGGTGCTCTCCCCTGGCGGTCAGGGCTGGGCAGGGGGCGCTCTCCCCTGGCAGTCAGGGCCGGGCGCTGGGGGGCGGCGCAGAGTGTGGGGCTGGGCAAGGGGCTCTCGCCCCTGGCAGTCAGGGCCGGGCGCTCTCCCCTGGCGGTCAGGGCTGGGGGCTGGGCAGGGAGCGCTCTCCCCTGGCGGTCAGGGCCGGGCGCTGGGGGGCGGCGCAGAGTGTGGGGCTGGGCAGGGGGCTCTCGCCCCTGGCAGTCAGGGCCGGGTGCTGGGGGGGCTGGGCAGGGGGCTCTCGCCCCTGGCAGTCAGGGCCGGGTGCTGGGGGGGCTGGGCAGGGGGCTCTCGCCCCTGGCGGTCAGGGCCGGGCGCTGGGGGCGGCGCAGAGTGTGGGGCTGGGCAAGGGGCTCTCGCCCCTGGCAGTCAGGGCCAGGCGCTCTCCCCTGGCGGTCAGGGCTGGGGGCTGGGCAGGGGGCGCTCTCCCCTGGCGGTCAGGGCCGGGCGCTGGGGGGCGGCGCAGAGTGTGGGGCTGGGCAAGGGGCTCTCGCCCCTGGCAGTCAGGGCCGGGTGCTGGGGGGGCTGGGCAGGGGGCGCTCCGGCGGTCAGGGCTGGGGGCTGGGGGGGCTGGGCAGGGGGCGCTCGCCCCTGGTGGTCAGGGCCGGGCGCTGGGGGGGGCTGGGCAGGGGGCACTCGCCCCTGGCGGTCAGGGCCGGGTGCTGGGGGGGGCTGGGCAGGGGGCCCTCGCCCCTGGCGGTCAGGGCCAGGTGCTGGGGACGCCGTGCTGCAGGGAGGGGGGCATAGGCACCCCCCAGGCAGTTAGCGCTGCCGCTCCTGCCCTGTGGCTGCCCCGCCCCCAGGGAGGTTGTGTTGCTTATCACATTTCTTAGGGAGCCCCGGGCACTGTTGTGTGTGGCCGTTCCCCAGCTGCTCCGCCCCAGAGGTGGCTGCCGCTCAGTGGAAGGCCACCCCCCCACAGCTGCTCTCGCCCCCACAGGTGAAGAACGCCATCGCCTCAGGTGACTTCAAACCCAACTGCGCGCTGGTCGCCCTGGATTTCCTCATCCGGCACGGCCACATCCAGCCCCACCACGGTAAGGGGACAGCCCTGGGCTTGGCTACCCAGGCCTGCGGGGCGGAGGGCGGAGTCCAGGGCTGGGCAAGCAGGGGGCTGAGGGTTGGGAGTGAGGGGCACCAGCAGTATTGGGGGGGAGCCTAGGGGGCTGCGGAGCAGGAGTGAGGGGCACCAGCAGGGCCTACGGGGCAGGGGGGTGGGGCTGCGGGTCGGGAGTGAGGGGCTTCCACCAGCCTCAGCCCCTGTTCTTCCCCCAGAGCCCCACTACGCCGAGCTGGTCGAGGGGCTGCACCGGACCCTGTGAGAAGTCGCCGCTCGTCTCCACTTCTGCTGCCCCCGCCCAGCGACCGCCGCTCCTGTGCCCCCGGCCCCTGCCTGAATAAAGCCTGCCTCCCCCCAGCTGCTGGGTGCGCCTGGTTCTGGGGGAGCGCAGGGAGACACACACGGCGCAAGGGCCCGTCCGCTCCAGCAGGGGGCGCAGGGAGACACACACGGCGCAAGGGCCCGTCCGCTCCAGCAGGGGGCGCAGGGAGACACACACGGCGCAAGGGCCCGGCCGCTCCGGCAGGGGGCGCAGGGAGACACACACGGCGCAAGGGCCCGGCCGCTCCAGCAGGGGGCGCAGGGAGACACACACGGCGCAAGGGCCCGGCCGCTCCAGCAGGGGGCGCAGGGAGACACACACGGCGCAAGGGCCCGTCCGCTCCAGCAGGGGGCGCAGGGAGACACACACGGCGCAAGGGCCCGGCCGCTCCAGCAGGGGGCGCAGGGAGACACACACGGCGCAAGGGCCCATCCGCTCCAGCAGGGGGCGCAGGGAGACACACACGGCGCAAGGGCCGGGCTCAGAGGGGGCACGGGAAGGGCCCGGCCGCTCCAGCAGGGGCGAGGGAACACACGGCGCAAAGGCCCATCCGCTCCGGCAGGGGGCGCAGGGAGACACACACGGCGCAAGGGCCCGGCCGCTCCGGCAGGGGGCGCAGGGAGACACACACGGCGCAGGGCCCGGCCGCTCCAGCAGGGGGCGCAGGGAGACACACACGGCGCAAGGGCCCATCCGCTCCGGCAGGGGGCGCAGGGGGAGACACACGGCGCAAGGGCCCGGCCGCTCCGGCAGGGGGCGCAGGGGGAGACACACGGCGCAAGGGCCCGTCCGCTCCGGCAGGGGGCGCAGGGAGACACACACGGCGCAAGGGCCCGGCCGCTCCGGCAGGGGGCGCAGGGAGACACACACGGCGCAAGGGCCCGTCCGCTCCAGCAGGGGGCGCAGGGAGACACACACGGCGCAAGGGCCCGGCCGCTCCGGCAGGGGGCGCAGGGAGACACACACGGCGCAAGGGCCCGGTCCGCTCCAGCAGGGGGCGCAGGGACACACACGGCGCAAGGGCCCAGTCCGCTCCGGCAGGGGGCGCAGGGGAGACACACACGGCGCAAGGGCCCGGCCGCTCCGGCAGGGGGCGCAGGGAGACACACACGGCGCAAGGGCCCGTCCGCTCCGGCAGGGGGCGCAGGGAGACACACACGGCGCAAGGGCCCGGCCGCTCCAGCAGGGGGCGCAGGGAGACACACACGGCGCAAGGGCCCGTCCGCTCCAGCAGGGGGCGCAGGGACACACAGTCATTTTTCTCCTTTAATTAAAAAAAAAAGTTCATAGTCCCCCTGCAGGGGGAGTCTCCGGGGGTGGGGCCTCACTCAGCCTCGTTGAAGCGGGTCAGCATGGTCTTGTGCAGCGTCTCGCGGTACGACTCGGCGGCCGAGACCCCGTAGGAGCTGCCGCGGGCACCCAGGCCAGAGCCGCGCACTCGGGTCTGCGCCTGGGGAGGGGGAGATCTGGTGAGACCAGGGACCTGCCCCTCGGAACCACCCCCAGCCCCTGCCCCCCAAGGGCTGCGGGGCTCCCTGCTCGCCCTGCCCCCGGTACCTCGATGGGGGTCACGATGCCTTGCTTCTTGCGGCCCAGGCCACTGCCCTCCTTCCAGCCCATGGCCTGCAGCATGCGGCTCCCAATGTTATCGCTGCCCAGCCCGTCCCGCGTCGGCTGCTCAAAGTCTCTGCGGGGAGAGCAAAGGGTCAACGGCCGACGCACCTGATACCGACAGCCCATGAGGGGACGGGGACGCAGCCACCTCTGGGGTGGGGCAGCTGGGAACAGCCCCACACATGGCCACTCGCGCACTGCAGCGATGCAGCCACCTCTGGGGCGGGGCAGCTGGGAACAGCCCCACACATGGCCACTCGCGCACTGCAGCGATGCAGCCACCTCTGGGGCGGGGCAGCTGGAGAACAACCACACATAACACTGCATGGGGACAGCTCGGCCAGCGCGCTCAGATGCAGCCACCTCTGGGGAGGGGCGCTCCTGGAGGGCAGAGCTCCGCCCAGAGTGGGCGGGGCAGCATGGCGGCGGGGGGGCTTACACAGTGGCAGGCATCACAGCGGAGTACTTCCTCTTCTTGGGCTCCGGGGGCTCAGGGACGCCGTACTTCTCCCTGCGCTCAGCCGCGCGGTCCCGGTACTTCATCTGCCGGGGGAGGGCCCGTTAGAGCCAAGGCCAGGCCCCACCCCCCACTGTGCCCCCCAACCTCTCCCTGGAGTCAGCGTGCCTCCCAGCCCCACCCCCCGACTGTACCCCCCAACCCCTCCCTGGAGACAAAGTGCTCCCCCCGCCCCACCCCCCCGTGCCCCCCAAAACCCCCCTGGAGTCAGCGCGCAGCCCCAGCCCCTAGACCCACCCCCCACTGTGCCCCCCAACCCCTCCCTGGAGTCAGCATGCCTCCCAACCCCACCCCCCCACTGTACCCCCCAACCCCTCCCTGGAGTCAGCGCGCAGCCCCAGCCCCTAGACCCACCCCCCACTGTGCCCCCCAACCCCTCCCTGGAGTCAGCACGCAGCCCCAGCCCCTAGACCCACCCCCCCCCACTGTGCCCCCCCAACCCCTCCCTGGAGTCAGCGCGCCGCCCCAGCCCCTAGACCCACCCCCCACACTGTGCCCCCCAACCCCACCCTGGAGTCAGAGCACCCCCCCAGCCCCCTGCATTCTTCCTTCCCCACTGTTCTGGTGCAGCATGGCCCGCCCAGTATCCCATCCGCGCCCCCGGCTATACCCCGCCATGCCGGCCCCCCTGCCCTGGGGGCCCACAGCCCAGCCCCCTGCCCACCTCCATGTCGTTCTTCTCCAACGCCTCCAGCTCCTGCTCCGACAGGTGGGCGCGGCGGTGAATCTCCAGGTTTTGCTGCAATGAAAGGAGAAGGTAGGTAGGGAAACCCCCGTCGCCCCCGGGGGGGGGAGAAGCTGAATCGGGGCTGGTGCCCCCTCTGGGGGAAAGGCCCTGGGCCCCATTCCCCGCCCCCCACCCTGGGGATGGATGGGAGCCAGCGCCCCCTAGACTGGAAGAGTCCCGTGCCCCATTCCCCGCTCCCCTGAGCCAGCCAGTCCCTGCCCCAGGCTGGATGGGAGCCGGCACCCCCTGGAGGGGCCAGGCCCCGTGACGCCCCCCTCACACCTTGTGCAGCCCAGAGAGCTGCTGGTGGCGGATCAGCGCCTCCTTGCTGGGGAACTGCCGGCGGCAGAGCAGACAGGCCAGTTTGTGCCAGTCCGTGAGCTTCTCCTCCCGGTCAGACGCCCGCTCCGGCTCCTCCTCGCTGTCGCTCTCCCCGCTGTACGCGGCCACCAGCCCCCGCGGCGGGCTCTGCGGAGAAACAGCGCTGTGGGGCCGGCTGCTCATGGGGGCCCCTCACCACGACACGCCCTGCCCTCCCCGAGCCAGTCCTGGCTCCCAGCCCGCCCCTGCTCTAACCCACCGGACCCCACTCCCCTCCCGGCCCCAGGCTCCTGCAGCACTGGGCTCTTACCAGCCTATCGTCGCTGGCCAGCTTGGACAGATCCATGGGCGTGTGCTGCCTCTCTGCCAGCGCCCCCTAGGGGAGAAGCACAGTGGTTGAAATCAGCCAGGGGCCCTGGCAGGTTCACCCCGCACCCACCTCCCCTGTTGGACCCCATGCTTCATGTGGGGGCATCAGGGGCAGGCCGGGGTTGGGGGGCAAGGGCCTGCCCGGCCAGCCTAGAGCCTTGACTCTTCGAGGAGGAGGCAGGGTTGGGCAGCTCAGCGCCGGGTGGCCTGGCACGGCACCGGCACCTGTGGGCATGGAGGGATGGGAAGGGCTGTGGGGCTCCTGGCAGGGCCGGGGTTTTCCCCCATGCTGGCCGTACCTTCTTCTCCAGGATGGCGTAGCCGGCGTCGGCCGTGGCCGACTCGCGCCGCTCGTCCTCCCGCAGCGAGCTGATCGGCTGGAAGCTGTTCTTGAAGTTCTCCTTCTGTTTGTTGAGGCTGCGGGCCCAGCGCTCCATGTCCTTGGCGATCTGTGGGGGGGCAGGGGGCTGTCAGTGGGGCGCTGACCCCATGTTGGGGGGCAGGGAGGGAAGCTCATAGACAGACAGGTTGCAGGATTCTCCTTCACTTTCTGTCCCAAGCTTCTGATGCTGGTCCCCAGCTGCCCCACCCCAGAGCTGGCTGCATCTCAGCGTCGAGCAAGCCATTCCCATGCAGCGTTACGTGTGGCTGTTCCCAGCCACCTCACCCCAGAGCTGGCTCCATCTCAGTACCGGACGAGCTATCCCCATGTGGCGTTACATGCAGCTGTTCCCCAGCTGTCCTGCCCCAGAGGTGGCTGCATCTTGCCAGTGAAGGCTGGGCTAGCAACACCTCTTGTGCATCTAGAGCCAAACTGCTTAACAGGCTGGATGGAAAAGGGGATCATGCAGCTCCCTCGGGGGGGTGGTGGGGGTGGGGGGCAACCTCTGCTGAGCAGCGGGTGGGGAGAGGCAGCACGGGGGAGGCCCTGTCCTACCCAGACGCCCGAGGGGGCCAGGGCACAGCGCTCCTGAGGGGCAGGCAGCACCCACCTGCTGAGCTGTTTTAGTCTTGTGTTTCTCCTTCTTCTCCTTGCCCTCCTTGCCGCTGCCCCCAGAGCCCTCCTTGTGGGCGTCGGCACCCTGGTCAGAGGCCGGCACGTAGGTCCTGCGCTCGCCATCCCAGTACAGGTACTGCTGGCTCTGTGCATTGTAGTAGTACTGTGGGGCCGGACAGATGGGGGGCGTCAGGTGCTGCAGGCTGTGCCCCCCCCCCCCCCCCGCCCGCACCCTTCCCCCCCAAGCTGCACCCCCCTCAGCTCACCTGGGAGTTGGGGTCGTAATAGAGACCGGTCAGCGGGTCGTAGTAATAGCCGGAGGTTTCGTCATACTGGTAGGTGGATACGTCTGGGACGGCTGGGGGGCGCAGAGCGGGGCTCAGCTGGGGGCGGGCCGAGAGGGCCAATATCCCAGCCCCCCAACAGCCCCCCCAAAGCAGACTTACCCCTCCCGACATAGCACATCCTCCCCAACAGCCCCAACATCCTCCCCACACCAGGGCCCTCCAACCCCCTCCCCTGCCCAACGTGGCACCCCCCCCCAGAGCCCCGCACATCCCCCCACTATGGTGAATGCACCCCCCGGAGTCACCACACTGGTCCCCGTGAAGCATGGCCCTCCAACCCCCAGAGACCCCCCAGTGTAGCACAGTCCCTCTCAGCCCCAACAAGGCCCCTCCCGCCGATGCACCCCCCCAGCCCCCCACTCACGGTACTGGCCGTAGGGCTCCTGCGGCGCGGGGGTGGGCAGGGGCAGGCCGGTGCTGGGCACGGGGAGAGCGGTGCTGCTCGGCTGGGCTGGGCTCGGCGTCTCCGGCTTCAGCACGGCCGGGGACACGATGGTGTAGGGCTGGCTCTGCGGCAGGACGGCAGGCAGTGGGGAGGCCGCCAGGAGAGCCCCCCGACCCAGAGCAGGGTGGGGACACCCTGGGGAGAAACCCCCTCACAACCCCGGGCAGAACCCCCAACCCAGAGCAGGGAGGAGAGACCCCCTCCCATACAGGCCCCGCTGCCCCCAAGCAGAGAGGAGAGACCCCTCCTGCCACCCACTACAGCCCCCGAGCCGGGAGGGCAGAGCCCCGCCCCCAGGCCAGGCCGACAGCCCTACCTGGGCGGTGGCAGCAGTCCCCACTGTGGTGCCTGTGGTCTCGGCCCCGCCGGGCGGCTGGTACACGACGGGCACGGCGGTGGTCTGGGCGGCGTGGGGGAAGCTCTGCAGGACGGGCACTGGGTCGACACCCGGCACACCAGGCTCTAGGGTCGGCTCCACCCCTGTGAGGGCAGGGGAGAGCGAGGGTGAGGGGAGGTCCCCAGAGACCCACTGCCCAGGCTGGAGCCATTCAGGACTCCTGGGTTCTCTCCCCGGCTCCAGGAGGGGAGTGGGGGCTAGTGGTTAGAGCTGAGGGGCTGGGAGCCAGGACCCCAAGACACTCCAAAGCTTCTAAGTGAAAGGGGGGGGGGGAGAACCCCACAGAACCCCATGGCGGGGTAAGAGGCTGCCACAATTCAACCTGACCACGACAGGGGATCCAACCCCTGCCCCCTCCCAGCCCCCAGGCGGTGGGAGGGTAGCGCCAGGGGCCGGCCCCATGTCCCACGCCCGCTCTCACCAGTGGCTGCAGCCTCCCCGTTGGCGCCGGGCTGGGCCGGGGAGCCCTTCAGGTAGGTGTGGGAGTAGAGGGCCGGCTCCGCGCCGTAGGCCTCCTCCTGCTGGTAGTAGGCGTAGTCAGCCGGCTGCTCCTCCGAGGCTGCCCAGGCCCCCTCACTTCCCTGTGATGCCTGGGGGCAGAGGGCAGGGTGAGGGGACCGGAGGGCACCACCAGCCCCCACCCCTTGTCTGCCTTGGGGGCAGGGACCCAGCCAGCAGAGCACCCCCCCGCAGTGCCAGGCATGGGGGCGTCCCGCCAGCCAGCCCCATCCAGGCTGGAGCCACATGGTCCACACTCCTGCAGCAGGAAGTCCCAGGGATTAACGCCCCGCCACACACCCCTGCAGCAGGGGGTCCAGGGGATTAACACCCCCCCACACCTCCCGATCTGCCCCCCCCCGGCGAGTTAATCACGAGGCCCCGGGCAGGGCGGGGTTACCTGGGAGATGGCCCACTGGGCCGCAGCAATCGCAGTGCTGGCAACAGAGGCGGCGCTGATTCGGTTACTGTCGGAGGAGCCCATGTCCCTGTGGGGGTGGGGGAGAGGGAAGGGACCTGTCACTCTGTGGGATTGGGTGGGGGCCCCCCATCCCCCTGCCCCTCCCGCCCCTGCACTCACCGCTTGGAGCCCTTGGCAAATTCCACGTTGATGGTCTTGCCGTCAATGTGCAGCGGGGGGTGGAGGGCCTGCAGGATCTGCAGCAGCTGGGCCGCCTCCTGGGGGGGGCAGATGGAGTGAGAGGGGCCCAGACCCGCCCAGGCCTCTCCAGCCACACAGCCCTGCCCCACCCCCGCTCCCCTCCCAGAGCCGGGAGAGCACCCAGGAGTCCTGGCCTCCAGCCCCCCCTGCTCTAACCAGCAGACCCTGCTCCCCTCCCAGAGCCAGGGAGAGCACCCAGAAGTCCTGGCCTCCAGCCCCCCCTGCTCTAACCAGCAGACCCTGCTCCCCTCCCAGAGCCGAGGAGAGAACCCAGGAGTCCTGTCCCCCAGCCCTCCCTGCTCTAACCAGCAGACCCCGCTCCCCTCCCAGAGCCGAGGAGAGAACCCAGGAGTCCTGTCCCCCAGCCCTCCCTGCTCTAACCAGCAGACCCCGCTCCCCTCCCAGCACCGGCAGAGCCCCGGGGGCCTCGGCGGCTCACCACGATGGTGGCCAGCTGGATGAAGGCGAAGCCGCGGTTGAGCTGGGTCTGCTTGTCTTTGATGACGCGGACGTTGGAGGCGGAGAGCACCGCGTAGGGCGCCAGGGCCGCCAGGATCGACTCCAGGGTGCTGTGCGGGTTCAGGTTCCGCAGGATGATGGCTGGGAGGTGGGGGGGGGGCACAGCGTGAGGAGGGACTGGACACCCCCCCCTCCGGCCCTGCCCAACAGGCCGCGCCCCATAAGATCCCACCCACCAGCAGCAGCCAGGCTCCGCCCCCTTAGAGCCAACCCAACTGTTAGGCCCCACCCCCTTGGGGCCAACCCACTGCCAGTCAGGCTCCAGCCCCCACCAGGCCCCACCCTCTTACAGCCCGCACCCCATCAGCCAGACACCCCCACTTAGACCCCCCCCGCATTGGTCAGACCCGAACAATTCCTCCCAGGTACCCTCCATCCACTCCACTCCACCCCACCGACCTGGGCACCGATCCCACTGCCCCCTCACCCCACACCTACCCCGTCACCCGATACCCGCTCCTGGCAACTGGAGGGCTCCCCCCGCCCCACTCCCTGCCCCCTCTCCCCCCCATGGCCCACCCCCCAACGCTCACCCCCCACTCACTGTCGTTGGCGTTCTCAGCGCAGGGCTCTGACGCCTGGGCCAGGGGCTGCGTTGCTGACAGCACCGAGGCCTGGTAGGGCTGCGGCAGGGGCAGCAGGCCCTGACTCAGCTCCCGGCCCGACAGCGCCACCAGCTGGTCTAGCCGGCTCCCTGGGGGCAGCTTCTGCTCAGCCTCTGGATGGGGCAGAAAGTATTATTAACCTGCGGGACTCCCTGCTGCATGGTCTGATGGGGGGGGGGAGAGGAATAGCTCAGCCAGGGCATTAACCCGTGGCATTCTCTGCAGCAGGGTCAGATGGGGGGCTAAAACCAGCACTGTTTCTAGCTCACCTGATTTGGGTACGCCACATTTAAAGCATTTCTCCCTTCGTTTGAAATTCTGCACTCCACACTGCAACAGGAATTAACAAGAGACTCTTAATGGAGAAAACCCTCTGCTGAGGCCCCTGCCATGCTCGGCCCTGACTGCCCCCTGCCCAGTCCCCTGCCCCTCTCCCCGCAGCACAGCGCCCCCCAGTGCCCAGCCCTGACTGCCAGGGGAGAGTGCCCCCTGCCCAGTCCCCTGCCCCTCTCCCCACAGCACAGCGCCCCCCAGTGCCTGGCCCTGATTGCCAGGGGAGAGTGCTCCCTGCCCAGCCCCTGGCCCCTCTCCCCACAGCACACTGCCCCTTAGCTCAGTGGCCATTACCGTAGGATCACAACCCCACTCCTGTACCTTGCTGCAGAGCCAGTCCTCATTGATCTTGGGCTTGGGGTCGCTGTAGTGCATGGAGACTTTCTGGCCCAGGATGCTGAGGGAGTGCTGCCGGGGGAAAGGCAGAGTGGTGAGCGCCGGCGGGTGGCGGGGGGCACCCGTCACTGCCTCAGCAGAGAGAGAGAGAGAGATTTAAACCCTTCTGCTGAACGGATGAGGGAGGGGAGGGAGGGAGGGAGGGAAGGGCCGCAGGCCCGGAGAGGTTTGGGTCTCGGCTACGTGGCTACCGCAAAGCTAACCTGTGCCGGCCCAGCATTTGGGGCTGCCGGCACGGCCGGCTCCGAGCTACCAACGGCTGCTAGGATGGAGGGAGTGGATGAGAGAGAGAGAGAGAGAGAAAGAAAGAGAGAGAGAGAGAGAAAGAAAGAGAGGGCAGCCATGATCCAAGACACCCGCGCGGCACAACACCTGACACCGCTGGGAACCACCGATGCGTGCCCTGCTAGCCAGCGGCTCCTCCGGCAACCTCTGGGCCACCACCTCGGCACAGCCCCCACCCGCCCCCTCGGCCTATCTGCTCTGCCTACGGCCCTGCCGGAGCCTGATCCGACGGCCTCTCGCCGCGCTGCCTCGATCCCCTCCTGCGCAGCGCCCCACCCCGCAAAGCACAGCGTCTCGGCCACGCGTGGCGGCTCCCACTGGGGACGCCCGCCCACGCACTCGGTCCGGCTAGGAGAGGAACGGAGCCGCGCAGGTCGAGGGGCGTTGTGAAAGCCAATTCCAATCCACCAGCTGGCCAGGGAGACCAAGATCTCAGGGCTATGGGGCCTGGAGGTTGGTCTGACAGGTGCTCGCTCTTCTGCCGGCGGGCCTCCTCCGGGTCCGGTGGGCACAGGCTTAACGAAGGCTGATGCCGGGCGCCCTCCCTGCCCTAGCTCCTGGCGCTGGCACTGCCATGGGAAAGCTCGCAGCCTGGCCCCCCCGTGGGAGACTGGAGATGGAGTGACCCCCTGGAGGGTGGGAGGGGGGCCAGGTGCCAGTGTCTGGGCCCTGCGGCACGAAAAGGGCTGATGCCATCACTCAACATCCACTTCTGCCATGCACTATGTCGCACTGCCTTCCAGAGCGGGACACAGAACCCAGGAGTCCTGGCACCCATCACTGCTGCTCTAACCACTGCACAACACTCCCCTTGCAGAGCCACAGAGAGAATCCAGGAGTCCTGGCTCCCAGCTCGCTCCCCCTGCTCTAACCACTAGCCCCCACTCCCCGCCCGAAGCCAGGCAAAGAACACATGCATCCTCATTTCCAGCCACCCACCAGAACACACTTGGAGACACGGAGAGAACCCAGGAGTCCCGGCTCCTGGTCCCCATGTTCTAAACACGCTCCCTCCTAGGGCTGGGAAGAGAACCCAGGAGTCCTGGCTCTCAGCCCCCCCCGTTCTAACTACTAGACCCCACTGCCCTCCCACTGCTCTGCCTCTAAGCACTAGTGAATCCTTAAGGGGGTGGGGGGGTGATGCTCTCCCTGAGGGGCTGGAGCAGGCCCAGGCGTGTGGGTCAGGCAGTAACAGGAGCAGTACTTGTGGGGGTCAAGTGCGGCAAAGCAACCTGATTGGCTTCCATCCATCGGGTAGCGTCCTGCAAGTGATTAAACTCGACGAAGGCGAAGCCGCGGCTCTGACCTGGAGGACAGCATTCAGATACAGACGCAGTGTGTTAGTCAACAGATCCAGCCAACATCACGCACCCTCTCGCTGCACCCCCTGGGGCGGGGCCGGGGGCGCGGAGGGGGGCACCTCCTGGGAGTGTGGGGGCAAGGGCAGGGGAAGCACCAGCCACGCAGCCAAGGGGCTGCTAGCATAATAGAGCCCTGGAGTCCTGGCGCCCCCCCAACCACTAGACCCCACTCCCCTCCCAAAGCCCAGGAGAGAACCCAGGAGTCCTGGCTGCTGGACCAGCTTCCTCTCCACTTGCTCATGCTGCCTCCCCAGAGCATCGCTTTCCCCTAGGGACAACAGGCTCCAGCCGCCCCCCCACCCCCCCGGCCGCTCAGTGTCCTAGGACCCGGCTCTGGTCACAGGCACCCCTAGCATCATGCTGGAGTAGTGGTGTGAGCACAGTCTGCAGGGCAGAGTGCCCCCTGCAGAGCTTCCTGCCCCATAGCAGGGCGCCCCCCAGCGCCCGGCCCTAAGTGCCAGAGTGAGCACCCCCTATAAAGCTCCCCACCCCATAACACAGCCCTGACTGCCAGGGGAGAGCCCCCCGGCCTGCAGCACAGCGCTCCCCAGTGCCCGGCCCTGTCTGCCGGGGGAGAGCGCCCCCTGCCCAGCCCCCACACTCCCATCCAGGTCTCCCAGTCAAGCACAGGTTTTGCTCTGTCCCATCGCACAGATCCCCTTTGCCTTTAGCTCGGCCTGGCTGAGGGTTCCCAAGCTAGGGGGCTGGGAGTAAGGACTCCAGTGGGGGGAATCATAGGTCCCTGCCCCCCCCCCCCCCACCTCCACTGAGCTACGTGGGACGAACACAGCAGGCCCAACCCCCAGACGAGACCCCCTGGGCTGGATTATTGGCTCCCAGCCCAGCGCCGAGGCTCTGGATCCCAGCATGCGGTGCTCCCAGCACTGGGCCAGTGCATGCTGGGAAACATCTCTGCAGGGGGCTGTGCCTTGAGCTGGCTGGAGGGGCCCCTGGAAAGTAGGGTTCCTCTCCACAGCGCCCCTGTGAGGCCTGGCACAACACAGGACTAATGCAGAGAAAAAAATATAAATATATACACACCCTGCTTTGGAAGGAGAGAGAACACTGGCTGTGTGTGTGTGTGAGTGAGTGAGTGTGCAACACACACCAAGGAAATACCTTCGAGACAACAGCCAACTCACCTGTTCAGCCCAGCCCATCCTGGCCACGCGCTCCCCAGAAAGGCTGGCCCAGTGCCGGCGTTCCCTAGCGCTGGCTCACTCTGGGAGGAGAAGCGGGCCGCAGCAGAACCCAGCCGCGGCCTCTAGTACAGCTCCATTCCGGCCAGGGTTCACGCCCAGCAAGGAGAGGGCGAGAGGGGCACGCGCCTGGCCGTGGATTCCTCCGCGCTCTCCAAGGACAGGGAGAGAGAGCAGCGAGTGCGGGATCTGCATGCAGACTGACCAAACCGGCCCTGCTCTGCACGGACCCACGGGCAAGGGACTGGTACCAGCCAAAAGCCTGGTGCGGGTTGGGAAGCCAGCTGCACAAGGGCCTGGGTAGTTTCTGCCAGCGAGAGAGACACACCGACCGCGCGCACCGCAGGGGGAACCGCCGCAGGCTCCTAGCCAGAAAGGCGGGGCAGAAGGCAGAACTGTGAACAGGAGCTCACCTGAGGCTTTGTTCCGCATCAGCCGCACCTCGCGGGGCTGGATCCCATGCGCCTGCAGCTGGGCCCGAATCTGTGGGGGAGCACACACAGAAGGGACACAGTCAGCACCATCCACCTCCAGGGTATGGACAAGGGGAAACTGAGGTAGAAGGCGCCACTCATGTGAGATCATGCATTGATCCATGGAAAAGCAGCTCCCAGCACCCTCCCTCCCCACAACCACGAGACCCCGCTCTCCTCCCAGAGCCGGGGAAAAGAACCCAGGCATTCTGGTTCCCAGCCCCACCCCACCCAGACCTACATCGTTCTCGGAGGCGGACTGGGGCAGCATCCTCAGCATGACGATGCTGCTGGCCTTCTGCTCCTCCTCTGGCTCGGGCCGGTAGTCCTGGTCGCGGTAGTCCCCGTCGCCGGGGTAGCCCAGGGGCTCGGTGGGGCTGTCCCGCTTGCGCTGAGTCTCCGACCCTGAAGAGGCCTCGTAGGAATCCTGGCGAGAGAGGATGGGGTCAGGGGAGCCCGGCACTCGCGTCCCATCCCCATCCCCGGCAGAGAGGCCCGCCCAGCCCCACAAGACTACAGCCCCTGGGTCCAGAGCCCACCTCGGCGCTCTGCTCCTCGGATGAGTCATACTCGTTAGCGGCCTCGTGGCTGCTGAAGTCACGGGGGTACGAGCGGTAATCCATGTCCCGATAGTCGTGGTCTCGCTGGGTCCGCCCGTCCACGCTGTCGTCCTGGGACCGGTCAGCAGCGCCATATCGGCCCGTCCGGTCCCCACGGCCACCTCTGAATCATAGAATATCAGGGTTGGAAGGGACACCTCAGGAGGTCATCTAGTCCAACCCCCTGCTCAAAGCAGGACCAATCCCCAATTAAATCATCCCAGCCAGGGCTTTGTCAAGCCTGACCTTAAAAACTTCTAAGGAAGGAGATTCTACCACCTCCCTAGGTAACGCATTCCAGTGTTTCACCACCCTCCTAGTGAAGAAGTTTTTCCTAATATCCAACCTAAACCTCCCCCACTGCAACTTGAGACCATTGCTTCTTGTTCTGTCATCAGCTACCACTGAGAACAGTCTAGAGCCATCCTCTTTGGAACCCCCTTTCCGGTAGTTGAAAACAGCTATCAAATCCCCCCTCATTCTTCTCTTCCGCAGACTAAACAATCCCAGTTCCCTCAGCCTCTCCTCATAAGTCATGTGTTCCAGTCCCCTAATCATTTTTGTTGCCCTTCGCTGGACTCTCTCCAATTTCTCCACATCCTTCTTGTAGTGTGGGGCCCAAAACTGGACACAGTTCTCCAGATGAGGCCTCACCAATGTCGGATAGAGGGGAACGATCACGTCCCTCGATCTGGAGGGAATGAGGGGTGTAGGTTCAGCACCGTTGGCTGCCAGGGCAGAGCACCCCCTGCTGAGCCCCCGCCCTGCTCCACGCCCAGCCCTGCCTGCCAGGGCAGAGTGTCCCGAGCCCTGCTCCCTACAGCACAGCGCCCCTCAGTGCCTGGCCTGCCCAGCCTCCTGCCCCACAGCACAGCGCCCCCCCAGCAGCCCCAGCCCTCCCGATACAGGGGTGCACGGGCCCATTGGCGTGGGGAGATGGTACCTCCGTTCATACTCCATTTCCTCCTGCAGCGGGTCAGTGCTTCGGAACAGGCCAGGCTCTTCGGTGGGCACTCAACACACAGCACTGCCACCAGCCGTGTCCACAAGCCCTAGAGGCAGAGAGAGCGGGGGAGAGGGGGGGGGTTACCATGGCCGTCCACAGGGCGCGGGGAACGAGACCCATGAAATCAACCAAGTAGTGCCAGACAGATGGCATCAGGGGCTGAGCGAGGATCTTGACACAGCCCCTGCTAGCCCAGCCCTGGGCTCCCCACCAGCCCTGCCAGCGTCCCTCACTCCCGACCTGCAGCCCCCTGCTTGCCCAGTCCTGCCACTGCCCCTCAATCCGAACTCATGGCCATGCCAATCCTGGTCTCCCATATACACATGTGAAGGAAGAGTCTAGTTGTTGGTTGTTTTTTTTTGGTGGGGAGGTTGGGAGCCTGGACTCCTGGGTTTTCTCCACGGCTCTGGGAGGGGAGCGGAGTCTAGTGGGTCAGAGATGGGGGGAGTGGGAGTCAGGAATCAATGCTCCAGTCCCAGCTCTGTCACCCACTTTCCCTTTGGCTCTCAGCATGGCCCTTCCCCTCCCCGGCCTCTTCTCCCTGAGGAACTGAGGAGCTAAGGATCCCATTAGCGCTTTTGGCCATGGCACTGCTGTGGGAGGTCCGGCTCAGCTGCCTGTCCATGCTGCTGAGGCCTAGATCCTTCCCAGGAACCCATTCCGCGGGAACGGCCTGCACACCCGGCTCCTAGAAGTAAGTATTCCTAGAAGCCTCTGGCTGGATTAAAATGCAGAAACGGTACCTGAACCCCCCCAACACCAGCCTTAGCAGCTCAGAATTCATCCCTCAGTCTGGTTCTATGCAGGAGACTGGTCACATCCCAGGCAAATAGTTCAGAGCACTAATGTCTCACAGCAGTAGCGACAGGAAGAGACCAGAGTAAGACTTTCTGGTTTCTGGGAGGCTTCACCGTACAGAGTTTCCTGAGTTATTTTAACTTTAAACAATGTGACACACCAAAATGAAGTTCTAAAAATAAATAAATGGCACCAAGATGCAACCAAAGAGGTAAGACGCCAGCTACATCCCGGCTTCCTCACTGCACTATCAAACCAGATTAGATCGTGTTCCAACAGGTGGCCAACTGACCAGCTTCCCAAACCTACCGAGCACATGATGCATGCAATCCCAGAGTAACACACACAATTCTTCCCTTAGCAGCAGGTAACGTAAGGGTAGCAGCCAGCCAGTCCCACTGCCCTGGGGCTGGATCCGACCCAGCAACACCAAGAGGGGAAAGACCCTAGGTCCCATTCCCCGCCCCCCTTGAGCCAGCCAGCTTTGCAAGCACGCGGCCCCACACAGCATAGGCTGCGATTTATTTAATTCATCCCAGCAAGTAGCAGACTCAGCACCCCCAGGCTACAGATCCTACCTTCACTGGACACCTGCGAACTTGCTGGGCTCTTAGGCAGCGAGAGGAGGAGTCCGATGGACTCACAACCCCAAAACATCCCCCCACACAGATTGATTCCTCCAGGGCCTGGGTTGCTTTGCCCCGAGGTACATGCAGGGGCTGGTCTCCCCATATGCTAACAGTTGCTATTGATTATTTCTATTGCAATGAGTCCTGAGACGATGCCCACTTCCCTCTGCAACTAGCCAGAAGGTCGGGCATCATTGCACTGGCCATGGTGTGGCACATACACACAGCCCCTCTGCTCAGCATGCACACACCCCGGGTACCCAGCTCTCTACACCCTGCTTGCCAATATACAGCCCAGCTGGAGGTCTCTGTCGCAAGACACAAAGCCTGCCTGTCTACCCAAGATCAACTCTCTTGCACTGACGCCGTGAAATGGTCACAACCGATACCAAGAGGGCAGGAGCCTATGGAACTGGCTCAGAACCCTGCCAAGCACTCTGCGGTTCGATTCTCCACTCAGACTGCTGCAGGCTCGCCACACCTCCAACCAAATGAGCCGCGCTTTCCGGAGCTGAGCGCAGGCTGCCAGGGACGAAGCTGGACGGGAAGTGGGAGTCTCTCTCCCCCTCGGCTCCAAGCCTGCAACACCGACCCGCTTTCCCGCTGAGATCACGCTGACAAGGTACCTCCCGCAAAGGGGGGGTCCCAGCTGTGCTGTGGGTGAGGCTGCCTGCAGCACCTCTGAACTCCAGGTCATCCATCTCTCTGGGGCTCAGGTCCTCCTTTGCCAAACAAGCTGTTGAACCTTGCAGCAGCTGGGAAAGGATAAAGCTGCCAGGGCTTCCCAGGTCTGAGCCAGCACGGGACAGAGGACAATGGAGATCCCACCAAACCAGGAGTGACAAAGCAGGAATTCGATGCCTATGTGTGCCTCAGTTTCTCTCCATACTTTGCACTGCTACCCAGCGGGGGGTGAAAGGGTTAACACGTTGCTCTTGGATCAGAGCTAGAAACATGTATCATGTAAGAGCCTGGAGTGGAATGAAGGGGTCTGGACTGGTTGAAACCGACCCATATCCAGAGCAGGACCCCTGGGGGTGCCAGCCCACTGTCTAAAAGCTGGGGCATAGCACCCATCCTGGGCTTCATGACACCAGGCCCTTCTGCTGATGTGTGAATCCCAGGGAGATGAAGCCAACAGCCTGGGGTCACACGGAGACAAAACGCGGAGCCTGTGAAACTCATTGCCACAAGGTGACACTGAGGCAGGATTAAAATCAAGGGTGGGGCAATTCTAACAAGGCTTCAAAACCGCAAAGCAAGCCCCACACACAAGCTGACCTTTCATAAATGGGAGCTAAGAGGAGACAAGTCATCCCGTCACAATTCCTTGCCTCTTTTCCCCGACAGCATCTGGTACTGGCCCCTGGCAGAGACAGGATATGGGGGAGCCGGAGAGGAGGGAACATGGCGTAGGGAGCATCCTCTCCTAGGCACCTGTCTCTGCTCCCCCTCCAGGCCTGACTAAACCCCGGCTCTGCACTGACCTGCCACATAACCTCAACTAAGCCAACCCTCTCGGCACCTCCACAGCCCTTCCCAGACTTTCCCCTGCCTAGCTAGCAGACAGGAGCTGTCTGTACAGCGCCCGGCACGGCAGGGGACCCCCAACCCCGGGCAGGGTCTGCATAGCGCCCGGCACAATGGGAAGGAGGGAGCCCCCAATCCCAGTCTAGACTCCACCCTCTGCTGGCCCTATCGTGACCAGATCGGGGTATTTTTATCTGAAGTCCAGCTGCCCACTTGGCCGGCCACCCCCCCACCAAGGTGAACCCGCGCCTCCTCGTCGCTCCCTTCACCGGCCTCACCCACCAGCCGCCTTCCCCCTCTTCAGGGCTCCCCCCAAACCCCTCGCCTCTTCCCCACCCCCAAAACCGCCAGGCCAGGACCCCTCCCCATTCCCAGACCCTCCCCCCCAACTCAAGCCCAACCCTCACTCCAGACTCCCCCTCCCCGTCAGTTCCTCCCTCCCCCCCGGCTCCTCCCCTAGACGCCCCCCACCCACATGCTCCTCCTCCTCCTTCCCCAACACCTCTCCCCACAGACTGTCCCAGCCACCAGCCCAGCCAGCTCCCCAGGCCACGCCCCCGCCCCACAAGCTCCTCCCCCAAGGCCCCCACAGGCTCCCCCAGCCCAGCCCCCCCTCTCCGCCAGCTCCCCAGACCACGCCACCGCCCCACAAGCTTCTCCCCCAAAGCCCCCCACAGGCTCCCCCAGCCCAGCCCAGCCCAGCCCCCCTCCCCTCTCTGCCAGCTCCCCAGACCACGCCACCGCCCCACAAGCTTCTCCCCCAAAGCCCCCCACAGGCTCCCCCAGCCCAGCCCAGCCCAGCCCAGCCCCCCTCCCCTCTCTGCCAGCTCCCCAGACCACCCCACCGCCCCACAAGCTTCTCCCCCAAAGCCCCCCACAGGCTCCCCCAGCCCAGCCCAGCCCAGCCCCCCTCCCCTCTCTGCCAGCTCCCCAGACCACGCCACCGCCCCACAAGCTTCTCCCCCAAAGCCCCCCACAGGCTCCCCCAGCCCAGCCCAGCCCCCCTCCCCTCTCTGCCAGCTCCCCAGACCACGCCACCGCCCCACAAGCTTCTCCCCCAAAGCCCCCCACAGGCTCCCCCAGCCCAGCCCCCCTCCCCTCTCTGCCAGCTCCCCAGGCCACGCCCCCGCCCCACAAGCTCCTCCCCCAAAGCCCCCCACAGGCTCCCCCAGCCCAGCCCCCCTCTCCGCCAGCTCCCCAGGCCACGCCCCCGCCCCACAAGCTCCTCCCCCAAAGCCCCCCACAGGCTCCCCCAGCCCGGGCCCCCAGACCACGCACCCCTCCCCCCACAGGGTCCCCAGACCAAGTCCCACCCCTACCGGCCCCTCCCCCCGCGCTCCCCCCCCGGCCCCGAGGCGGCGCTGACCTGGGCCGCGGCAGGCCGCTGGCCGGGCAGGACACTCCTCGCGCGCGCGCGCGCCCCCGACACGCAAGATGGCGGCGGCGCCAGCGGCCGAGTCCTGGCGACTCCCGGCGGCGGAGAACGTGGCCACGCCCCCCGCGCGCCGGCTCCCACCCCACCCCGCGCGCCCATTGGCCGGGGTGCCCCGATCCCATTGGCCGGGAAACCTGCCGCTCCGCGCGCGCCGGATGGGTGGGACCGCGTCCAGTCGCTCCCACAGGCGCTCGCGGCACCGCCCGGAGTCCCCTTGAAGACCCGCCTCCACTAGCAGGGGATTGGTTGGACTGTGAGACGGCCCGCCTCTGCTGGCAGATAAATGGTGGGTGGGCATAAGGCCCTGCATTAATCATTGGTGATTGGTGGAAGTGGCACAGGGCCCGCCTCTGCTCGCAAGGGATTGGTGAAAAGGGTAGAGAGTCCGTTTCTGCTCGCAAGCGATTGGTGCAGCCTCTCACTGATCCCGCCTCCAGGTCATGACCCAAAAAAGTGACTCATGGCTCACTGTCCTGACGTCATATAACGTCACGACGTGACGACTATGTTTGTGTCATCAGTGTGCGTTGGGCAGTGACGTCATCACAGCGAGCTGTCAAGGTGCGCTGCAATAGCATCCGATGACGTCACTGATCTAGTTGTGATGTCATCATGGGGCCAGCCCTTCTTCGGGGGGCTCCAGCACCTCGGTGACGTCCACACGCGACAGGCACCTCACTGCACCCCCGGGTAGGAGCCGGACACTGAGCAGGGCCCTGGGAAACATGAGGGGGGGAGACACGAGTATTGCCCAGGGGAAATATGGTAGCGCTGCGGGAGCCCTGTAGAGGGGATGGGTATGGTTCAGTCCAGAAATGGGGCAACATGGTACACTCCAGGGGGCCGGTCCAGATATGGTACTGTCCGGGGGGGGAAGGGTGCAATGGTACAGTCCAGGGGGGCCAATATGGTACAGCCCGCGAAGACCAGTATTTAACCCCGCGCGCGGCCCGCCTACTTCAGCCCCGGTCCCTTTGTGGCGCGCACGGGCGGCGCGAGATCACTCCCAGGGCGGGGTTTCCGGTTCCGCGCGCCCCTAGTGTCCTAGGCCCCCACCCCACGCCCAGGGGTACGATGGCGGCGCTGGGCAGGTGCGCGCGGAGCTTGCTGCTCCTGCGGGGCTCCCCGGCGCGCGGGGCTCGCGCGGGCTCCGGCCCGGGGGGCGGGGCCGCGGCTGCCGTTGTGACCCCGCCCCCCGCCGCGCGGGCCCCGCGCCAGCAGCAGCACGAGGAGGAGGAGGAGGGGGACATGGTGGCGGCGCTGCGCAAGGTCAGGGGGGCGGGGGAGCTGAGGGTCACGAGGGGGGAGGGGGCAGAGGGCGGGGGGGCGCCTGGGGGAGAGGGCAGTGGGGGGAGCTGGGGGGGGCAGGGAGGCGGGGGGGTACCTGGGGGAGAGGGCAGTGGGGGGCAGCTGGGGGGCAATGTTGTGGGGCAGGGAGGTGAGGGGCTGGAGGGGGCAGAGGGCAAGGGGGTGCCTGGGGGAGGGGGCAGTGGGGGGGAGCTGGGGGGGGCAGAGGGCAAGGGGGTGCCTGGGGGAGGGGGCAGTGGGGGGGGAGCTGGGGGGCAGAGGGCAAGGGGGTGCCTTGGGGAGGGGGCAGTGGGGGGGGACCTGGGGGGGGCAATGTTGTGGGGCAGGGAGGTGGGGGGCTGGAGGGGGCAGAGGGTGGGGGGGGCGCCTGGGGGAGGGGGCAGTGGGGGGAGCTGGGAGAGCTCGGAGGGGTAGGGAGGCGGGGGGGTACCTGGGGGAGAGGGCAGTGGGGGGAGCTGGGGGGGGCAGAGGGTGGGGGGGCGCCTGGGGGAGGGAGCAGTGGGGGGGGAGCTGGGGGGGCAATGTTGTGGGGCAGGGAGGTGGGGGGCTGGAGGGGGCAGAGGGTGGGGGGGCGCCTGGGGGAGGGGGCAGTGGGGGGAGCTGGGAGAGCTTGGGGGGGCAGGGAGGCGGGGGGGTACCTGGGGGAGAGGGCAGTGGGGGGCAGCTGGGGGGGCAATGTTGTGGGGCAGGGAGGTGAGGGGCTGGAGGGGGCAGAGGGCGGGGGGGCGCCTGGGGGAGGGGGCAGTGGGGGGGACAACGTTGTGGGGCAGGGAGGTGGGGGGCTGGAGGGGGCAGAGGGTGAGGGGGCAGTGGGGGGAGCTGGGAGAGCTCAGGGAGGTGGGGGGCAGATTGCATGGGGCGGGAGTACATTCACTGGGGGCAGGACCTGGCGGATGGAGGGCAGGTGGCATGAGGATGGGGAGAGCATTGGAGGGGCTGGGGGGTGTGGGGGGTAGGTGGGATTTGGGGGGGCTGTAGTTTGGGTTCTAGCCTAGGAGATCCCCAGGATTCAATTCCTGGCTTGCAACAGCTTCCTTGCATGATCTTGGGCCTGTCTGTGCCTCAGTTTCCCTTCTGTACGTTTGGAGGACAAGGATTGTGAGGTGTGAGGATACTATGGGGGGGAGCCAAATAAATACCCTGGAGCTGGGGAGCCAGTGGGGGCTGAGGGAGGGTTGGGGGAGCAGCGGAGAGGGGGGGGGCAGGCTGGGAAGCTGGGGAAGGGGCTGTGGGTTGGAGCTGGGGTACAGGTGTGGAGGAGGAGGACTGGGGTGGGTTGCAGGGGCAGCTGGTGGAGAGGGGCGGTAGGGATCACCTGGGGGTGCCAAGGGGCTGACAGTGGGGGATTTGATATTGGGATTAGGGGGTGAAACCGCGCTCAGGGTGCGTCCTTCCCTTAGCATCAGCTGTGCTGGGTGGCCCCAGGCCGAGGCCCCACGCGCTCGGCTAGGCTAGTCCAGGGCAATAGGAGCCCCATGCTGCTGCAGCCTGGGGTGCGAGGCCTCGAGTGGCGGGAGGCCGGGATCCAGGACTCCTGGGTTCTCTCCCCAGCTCTGACTGTTCAGCGGGGCTGCCTGGTCTCCTTTGAGTGTCGCCCTTGGCGGGGCTCAGACAACGTCACATGTGGGTAACGCTGCCTCTGAAACGGGATGTGCATGGATCTACCTGACACCTGCCCCACAGCTCGGCACCCCCAGTGCCTAGCCTTGACTGCCGGGGCACAGCGCTGCCCACCCCGCTCTCCCCAGCACAGCGCCCCCCAGTGCTTGGCGAGTGACTCCTGCCCAGTGCCCCACGGCACAGTGACCCCCCCCCAGTGCCCGGCTCTGACCAGCTGGGGAAGAGCACCCCCTGCCCAGGCCCCTGCCACACTCCCTGCAGCACAGCGCCCCCCAGGGCCATACTGGGGCTGGCATTCAGTCACAGCCTCGTGAGAGTCCTCAGGAGCTCTGCCTGTGTGAGCAGCCCCTGGCTCCCGGCCTCGCCTGGCTCAGACAGCTGTGCCCGCTGCCAGGATCCCCAGGCCTGGCGCCGCATCCTTCCTGCCAGCCCCCATCCTCGCCCAGGAGGCCAGTGGGAGTTTAGTGTCTCTGCCTCATCAACTTCAGCGCCTACCCCCGGGGCTGCTGTTCCCAGGCTGGCCGCAGCGGGAGCTCGGTGTCTGGGCTTCACTTCTGGGAGGGGAGTGGCGGGCTGGGAGTCAGGACACCTGGGTTTTCTCCCCAGCTCTGGGAGGGGAGTGGGGTCCAATGGTTAGAGCAGGGGGGGACTTGGAGCTAGAGTCCTAATCCCTCCTTCAGCCTCTAGCCCATATCTCCCTTGCACATGGAAGGGCTGGGCTCAGCCCCCACACAGCAGCTGCAGCCCCCCCCGACCCAGTTTCCCTGTTTAGATTCCCACCCCCAACCTGTAATCCCTGTGTGGCTGGCACTATATGGGTCACAGGCAGTGCCTGGCATGGGTGCCAGCTGCCAGCCAGCCCTGGCTGGGGGAGCTGGTGTCAGCGGCCTTTGTCTGCTGGGATTGGGTGCGGGGGCGGGGGGAGCGCATTCTCCCCTTTTTCCCTGCCGTTCACCTGGGAACTGCTAGGCCTGTCCCAGGGCTCGCATCTCTGCCTGGGAGCCAGGACTCCTGGGTTCTCTCCCTGGCACTGGGAGGAAAGAGGGGTTTAGTGGGTTGGAGCAGGAGGGTGGGGAGCTGCCCAGGGACTGTGCCTTTCCCCTTGTTGGAGCAGGCTTTGGCAGGCCTGCAGGGGTCGATCCTTAGCTCCCATAGGGTTTTGCGGGGGCTTCAGCTCCCCAGGTCCTGTCCCCCCTTCCTCCCCAATGGTGGGGCCATGCCGTCTGCTGCCTGGAGTTTGGGGGACGTGCCCCGGCCCCAGCGTGTTCAACTCCAGGCAGAGAACCTGCCTGCCTCTGCAGACAGCCTCCGCATGTCTGGGGTGGGTCTGAAGACAGTCCCCTACCTCCCCAGCAGGGGGTGCAGCGTGGTGCTGGGCGGGCCATCCCCTGTGTGGTGTTCTGCACAGCCGTTCCCCGGCTGCCCTGCCCCAGAGGTGGCTGCCTCCCAGCACCAGGGGGAGAGCACTCTGCAGGACAGAGGAAGGCAGCCGTGGTGACTCTCACCTGTGCTGCTGCAGCTATGAATCAGGCTGTCCTTGATGCGCTCATGGGCCTCCCCCCGAGCTGGGAACCAGGCTGACTTTGCTCCTCCGGGCTCCCCCCTTCCCCGTCTGGATTATTTTAAACCCAGCTCCTGATCTCGGCCGGGCCCCTCCCAATCCAGCTGGCACCTTCCGAGCCTTACCCTTGTATCAGGGGTCTGATCGCCCTGTGTGGACCTTATGGCTTTCCTGGGTCGGGGGAGAACCTAGGAGTCCGGGCTTCCAGCCCCTCCCTGGCTCTAACCACTAGACCCCATTCCCCTCCCTGCACCATGGTCCTGTCCTGCTGGAGCTGTGGGTTTGTGCCCCCGCTCCCTTTCTCCAGCTTGGATGTTAATCCGCTTGGGACCAGCCAGGGGAATCCAGCTGCTGCCTGCAGAGAGGGGGGGAAGGGACGGTGGGGAGGGCTGGCAGGAGCAGTTGGGCGGCCTAGGGGGTGACCCCGCTGGTTCCGCCGCCTAGCAGAAACAACACAGCTGCGCCAGCGTGAGGGGGTTCCAGCGGGGCTCTGAGGACTGGTAGCTAGGCGCTGAGCACCGGGACAGAGGGACTGGCTGGATTAGTTCCTGCCCAGCATTGACA